TGGAGTCTGCTGATTATGGACTGAAACTTCTGGAAACTATAAGCCAAATAAACCCCTTCCCTTTTAACTTTGGCTGTCGGGTATTTTGTCTCAGCAACAAGAGGAAAGTAATTAACACATAAGGTTTTTTGTCTTTTTAAGCCATTCTAACAGGTGTGCAGTGCTATCTCATTTTAGGGATAACTTTTATTTCCCTACCAGCTGGCAACGTTGAACATCTTTTCACATGTTCAGGTAGTTTGTACTATTTTTGCAATCTTTTATACATCTCAAATGAAAAACAAAATAAAAAAGAAATTCTTAATGAAAAAAACACTGAAAATTCTAATGCCTTAGCCTTAACTCTACTAGCATATACTTCATTCTACCTCGTGTTTGGGCAATTTTCAGTATCAGTCCTGTTACCAGCTGCTTAAGCTCATACACTCAGGTTTGAGTGTAGGCTAAAAATGAGCAAGTGGGCCGGGCATTGTGGCACATGCCTATAATCCCAGTATCTGGGAGGTTGAGGCAGGAGGACTGCCCCAAGTTCAAGGTTGGCCTGGGCTACATAGTGACTTCAAACCCAGCCTGAACTACACAGCGAGACCCACTTTCAAAAAACGAAAAAATAAAAGTAAAATAAGGGGAAAATTGTAAAGAACAATTTCTGTAAAACAGAATTCCAAACTTTCTCCTGTTGAGCACATAGCAACATCCTCCCCACTTCAGCTCAAAAGAAGTGACAGAAAATGCAGATACCAGTCCTAGGAGGCCAGGAAACTGGCTTGTTTCCCACAAGAGGATGGCCAGAGATTTAGCTCAGTGGTGCCACACCTGCCTTGAAAGCGCAAGGTCCTGAGTTCGATACCCAGTACCAAAAAAAGGAAAGAAACAAGGATGAGCTGAAGATGGCTGAAAGTGATGAAGCAAGTGACTCTGCACTGTCTCTGTGCTTCTTCCCCTCTGCTCCTTACTATATAAAAGACCCATGCCCACCTCAGGCAGTGAGATGGTGATTTGAAGCAAAAAGGGACCCCACCTACCCAGAACTAGTTTTAAATAAATCTTTTTTTCTTCCTTTTTACTTAAATATACGGCCTCCTTTGATATGGTTAGCGGCAAGGAGACAAACCTGAGCGTATGAGCATAAATGGCTAGTAACAGTCCAGCCGAATTTTTCCAAGTGTTGACAGTGTAAATGGACAAATCAGCACTCTACTTAACAAAGATGTCCCTGACGCTTGCTTAAGAGGATGAAAAAAAGGTACAACTCAATACAACGGAGAGTGTTGGACCCAGTACCCATAGACCTGCATCCCATCTGGCCTCTGCCATAATCCTGTATGATTCCAGAAGGATCCTGACCTTCCTGGGACCTCTTTCTTTGGTTGTAAAACCAACAAATGAGAAATAAGTTACTCAAAGAACCTCTTTTAACCTAACGTTTTGAAGTAGAGTTACCAGTTTTGTTTTTGTTTTTCATTTTCCTATAACAGTACCTTCTAGAAAGACATCGGACTCAGAGCAAGAGCAAGGATTCATAGTCTGGCAAGGAGGTGGAGGGCTGAGGGAGCTAGCCACGGGCTTTAGAGGAGTGGAGCCCGACCAAGGGTTCCCCAAAGCAACTAAAACCCTGCCGATATGACCCCATGTGAGCTTCCAGCCTTACAGCTTACCCACTCTCTGCGCCTGAGGACGCCTGAGTTTCATCTCCAAAACTTGGCTGGGAACACTAGACTAAAACGTGAAACTGCCGCCTCAGCCGCTCCACAGGGCGGTGGGGGTCTCGACAACAACGACAGCACTTAGTACTGCACGACCCACCTCTCATAATCCCTCACTAGCTGAGCTCTTACTACTTCTACCTTGCTCAGGAGCAACCTGCCCAATGCCGAGAAGGCCCAAGGAGGCCGCGGTGGAGCCAGAACACAGCCCGCAGTCGCACGGCTGCTCCTGTGTTCCGGACCCAGCTCCCTTCTCTCCCTACCCAGGGCGATGAATGACAACCTGGCTCCCGTCTTCCGGCATCAAACCCGAGCCACACTAGACTTTTCTCTCTTACTACGTCCACTCAGCAGTAATCCCGCTTGGTTTCACACTTCAAACGCCCTCAGAGCCAAGCCAGCTCTCACCGCTGGCCTGGTTGAAGCCACCGGCCGGCTTTGCTTCCACGACAGCGAGAACCTGCTCCACGCTACCGTACCAGGCTCGGCCCAACTCCTCAGAAGAGAGGGTTTTCCAGGGTCGGAACCCGGCCCGCCCCAGGCAGCCCCGCTCCCCTCCAGCTCCATCAGGGCCGGGCGAGGCGCCTACCTGGGCCAGGGCCGGTGGGAGCGCGGCACGGCGGAGTGGGGGTCCCGCCCCAGTCCAGATCCCGCGGCCGCTTCTCCAGCCGCCGCACCAGCCAGCGCACGGCGAAGAGCAGCACCGAGGCGCCCAGCAGCTCCCAGGCCAGCGCCACCCACTCGGACGCTACCAGTCGCGGCCACAGCATCGCCGCACCAAGCAGAGCTAGTCTCGGCCGCCGCCCGCCGCACCGCCCGCCACACCGCCCGCCGCGCCGCCCGTCCTGTCAGGACCCAAGCCGCCCGGCCGCCCGCCTGCTGCGCCGCGACGGGGAGGGCAGAGCCCAGCGGGACTAAACGCGGGTACCGCGTCTCTCTGTCCACGTCCCAGCAAACGACCGCGGCTCCAGTCCCGCCCCTAGGCGGCGCGAGGCGTGGGGTTCTAGTCCTCGCAAGGCACCGTCAGGCAGCGCCACGGCCAGCTGCGGGTCCTGACTCAGGCGCGTCGCCTCGGAACTCCGGTAGACCGGGTCAGGCAGCGCCCTGGGTGGCCAGCTGGGGACGCCCGCCTCGCTCCGCGTCCCTGGACCTCAAGCACCCGGGCAGGGGAGCCAGGCAGGGAGGACCTTCCCTGAGCCGGAGAGGACCGGGCTGGGCCCGAGGAGAATGAGAGGAACCATGGTGGTGGTGGTGGTGGGGGGGGGGGGGGGGACCCCACGAGGGGGGGGGGGGGGGGTCCTCGCAGGATGCGGAGTCAGGAGCTGGGTAGGTGTGATTTCCACCGGAAGCCACGCAGGGCCTGCCTGGCGTCCACGTCAGGTCTGAACAGAGGAGCTGGCCAATTAGGGGGTGAACGTACACAGCAGCGCCCAGAAACCCTTGCCCAGCTGTGCTAGGTGGCGCATGCCTGTAATACCAACAGCCTGGGAGGCTGCGCAGTTTAGCGATTTAGGGAGACCCTGTCTCAAAGTAAAATTTTAAAAGGGAGGGGTACGTAGCCCAGTGCACACAAAGGCCCGGGATACAATCCCCAGTGCCCAAACAGAAACCCCTGCCTTGGAGCTCGGCCCAGCGTGACAAACACTGCTGCTTCTCTGGGGCGAAGTGACTTAAAGCCTTCAGGAAGACGCTGGACTTTAGAGATCAAGTTCCCCCACGGCGGGTATGGGGAGCTGCACTGTACTGGTGTGCTAGGAAAACATTTTCACCGAGTTACAGCCCCAGTTCCTTTTTATCTTTTTTTTTTTGTACAGAGGATCGAACTCAGGACCTTGCGCTTGCGAGGCAGGCAGCGGAACCACTGAGGTAAATCCCTGGACCCCCTTTTATTATTGTATTTTATTTTGCCAGTGTTAGAGATTCAACCTAGGGTCTTGTTGCGCCAAATCGAAATGATCTTTCAGAGACAGGAGAGTTGGGTAAAATAAAAAAAAAAGAAGTTTATTCCCAGGCAATGGACAGCCTCAGGAAACGAGTCCTTCTAGGCTGACCTCAAGTTAAGATAGTTTTTCCTTTTTATACCTTATCATAGCCTACAGGGTAGCTTGAGTTGCGGTTATACAGAATGTAGCAAGGACGTGGCAAAGCAGCATTAGGTACGGGGTACTTAGACACTTCAAAGCTAACTTTTAATCTCTCCGGGAGCTGCCCCCACAAGAGGGAGGAGGCTCACCCAGAGTTTCCAAGCAGGGACAATTTCACACAAGTTTCAAGCAGCGTTTTAGCAGAGTTCATTATCAAATATTTTACAATAATTGTCCATTCCAAGTTATGTTTGGCAGCTCTTTCTGCCTCAGTCTTAGCAGTTGAGCTATATCCCCAGCCATTTATTTGTTTGAGACAATATCTTGCTAAGTCACCCAGACTGAATTCAAACTTTGGGTCCTCCTGCCTCACCCTCCCAAAGTGCTAGAATTTCAGATGGGCACCACCATGCCATGCTAATTTTCAGACAGGGTCTTGCTGAGTTTGCCCAGGATGGCTTCAAACTCGCTATTCTACCTCATCCTCTCCAGTAGCTGAGATTACAGACATGCCACCAACCAAAGCTAGAGAAGAAAGTTTTTCAGTGAGTAAAAATGCTGTCCAGTCGCAGTGCACACTTGAGAAATAGTTTGCTGTTTCTAGTCCGAATTACTTGTTACATGTCATCCCCTATCCTTGAGGGCACGGAAAGCTTCCCTGAGGAGTAGGTGACTTTAACTGTCCCATATCACAGATCCCACCCACAGACATTCATGCAGAGCGGCAGAAGACAACCAGGTTTTACATTTATTAAGGTTATGAAAAGAAAAGGAACACACTCTTCAGAGTGAGTGTGGGCCAAAGAAAGAAAAGAAATACACCCTGCAGAGGTGAGCCACTGACAAGAGTTAGCAGTGGTGCCCAGCTTGATGGAGTCTGTCTTTTGTGTCTCCCCCTCAAGCCGACATCAGGTTTAGGCTGTCCGATAAAAACCTGTTTGAGGGCTGGGGATTTAGCTCAGTGGTTCCTCTGCCTGCTTCGAAAGTGCAAGATCCTGAGTTTGATCCCCGGTACCAAAAAAAACCCAAAACTTGTTTGAGTTCTCCTGAGAAGAATTGAAGACACCACTTTGATTGGTTTCAGGTACAGGGATTTGGGACCTGTTCTGAGCATGTGTCCTGTAACTGATTTTTGAGAGGTCACCCCCACTTGCTCAGTGAGTTTGCCATGCCTTAATCTCCTGCCTTATTTGGACACAAGAGTACATACATGATTCCAGTTTTGAGTCTTAAGAACAGGCAGAACTTTTTGGTGAAAGAAATCAGAACAGCAGTTGTCCCTGGAGGCAGTTGTCCTGGAGGGAGCCAGTTGGCTAAAAAGGGACACAAAGAAAACATCCTTTAGGGGGCCAGGGATTTAGCTCAGTGGTTCCACCACCTGCCTCTCAAGCACAAGGTCCTGAGTTCAATCCTCAGTACCAAAACAAACGAAAATGCCCTTTAGCTTTTTTGGGTTTATAGTGAACCACACATTTGTCTAAACTCATCAAACTGTACACTGAAAAATCTGTGCTTTTTTATTGTAAATTATGCCATTTTTTAAAAAAGTGCCTTGTTTGAATGAATGCTTACCATTTGTTGTTTTTAATTAGGCTAGAAAGTCCTCTTACAATGGTTTGACTCATGAATTTTCAGCTTTGCTGAATGATAAATTTTCAGAAGCAACCACACTTGGAGAAGCTGGCATAAGACCCAGCGTTTGCTGCTCTAGGGCCCACCTCCATCCAGGGCTGCCTAGGAGCCTGCTTTGGCCTAGAGATGACTGGCAGGGACATCAATGCTTAATGTAAAATAACCAGGAAGCAGAAATGAGCTCTACTGTAGAGGATGGACAGACATCCTGGTACATCCACAGTGGGGTCCTAGTGAGCATTAGGTGCCAGTACAGGAAGCCATGGAGATGAATCTTAAAAGCCTTAGGTAAGTGAAGCAACCCAGGAGCAAAAATGAAATACTTTTAAGATTTTACTTGAATTCTAGTAAAGGCAGTACCATAGCCACAGGAAGCTGGTGCTGGGCCTGGGGAGGGGATTGACTCTCAAGGGCATGACAGACTTTTGGTGGTGGTGAAATCATCCTGCAACTTGATTTTGGTGGTGGTTTCATGATAGTATACACTTTGAAAATTCACTGCATTATACACTTAAAACTGGTAAACTTTGCTGTACATGTTATACTGAAATAAAGCTGTTTAAAAAATACAGAAAACATACTTTGAATTTTGATATGCAATGAGATCCTCCTGTGGTGCTGGGCAGTGCAGCAAGCTGCAGCTCCCTGCTAGCCCTTCATGTGCAGCATGTGACAGTGCTGAGCAGCTGCTTTGTAGTTTAGGTGTATTAAATGCATTTTGGACTTGCAGCATTTTCAACCTGTGATGGACTCAAGTAACACCATCATACATCCTCTCTCCCCCAGCCTCTCCCCAACGCTGGAGTGTTCATGAATGTACCACTGTGCATTCATGGTTGGTGGCCCAACCGCCTAGCTCCTGGGTGACTTGCTGGATTAATTTTCCTGTGCTTCGGTTTTCCCAGTGGTAGCTAGGGACTGCAATAGTATGTCTTAGAGCTGAAGCAGCACGTGCCACACTCGGTATAGAGCCCCTACAACGGCTGGCTTTACTACTCATGGTTCAAACATGAATTGAAAGTGTGTGTCTGTGTGTGTGTGTGTGTGTGTGTGTGTGTGTGTGCACATGCACACGCACTTTTAAGAGTGGCAGAGTCCTCCCCAATTATAAGGGATTTTGTGACCTGAACCAAAAATCCAAGTACTCTAAGAGAACCGATTCGAAAAACGATGAACAGCATAGTCAGTTGCCAGCCAGGATTCGCCTCCATTCTCCAGTTGTAGCTGGACACACTGCAGCAGGAAGACAGCCACTGTGCTGTTATCAACAGGTGTCCTATGCCCTTGGCCCCTAACCTGGGACACCAGACAGCAGGTGGAACCCAGCACAGCTGTCCCCAGAGATAGAGGCAGCTTTGTTCTCAGCCCTGCTCTCACCTGGTGTTTTTATCCTTGAGCTGTTTACGGGAATGAGAAACTGACAAGTCTTGGGTCTCTGGTCCAGCATCCTCAGCAGCCTGATCAATACCTTCTCACCTAGATTCCTGTAGATCCAGCCAAAAAGGATCCAGGTAGGGCTGTCTCACCACCCCCATCAAGCTGTTAAATAGATATGGTTATCTGTGGTTAAATAGAATAATTGTGGGGAAAATGGATAAAAACCCTGTTAATGGCCACTGTGGACTGAGAAGTGCTGGCCTGAATTTCCAATGTTTCACAGCCTCAGGATTTACTTTATTGCAACATAAATTTAGATACATTTCAATTTAATCTTCACTACAGACTGATGCTGGTGGAATGCAGTAATATTAATCTTCTAAGAATACAGGCTCAGGAGTAAGCCCCAGATCGGCAGGGAGCAGCTAATGATGTTTTTCATTCGTTTATTCTCAGTATTAATTGAACTTCTTAATTTAAAAGGATACATGCAAAAGTCCTGGGTTCCATCCCCAGTACTAAACAAGAAAAAGGAATATATGTTCATTGAGATTGTTACCAGCAATGTTTTGAACCTGTAGAAATCCAGTCATATAGTATGTTGTGTAGAGAGAAAACAGGGCTCAGGCCAGGGGACTCGGGACTGAGATCCTCTAGCAGAACACGCTGGCTCCTCTCCTCAGCTGAGCAGCATGGGCACCATGGGAGGGGCTGGGCAGGCTGTGTGGCAGTCACAGGGAGCAGAGTCAGAGACGGCCCACAGAGGGTCTTCCCCAACTCAGGACAGACACTGAAAGGGCATCTAGGTACTGGGGAAACTCAGAAGTGTGTTTGATGTGGAGAAGTGACGTTTACCACATGAGAAGCTTCCTGGGAGGTTGTGAGGTGGGACCACCCCTCAGTAGATCTGCACGCTTTAGGGTATTCAGACATGACAGTCCTGTGCAAAACACCCACAAAGCATCCCTTGTGGATTCCTGGATGAGAGGGCTGGACAGCTGAACACCCCAGGGTGCCTGTAAACCTGCCCCTGCCTGGGAGGTGCTGGGAGCTCTGTCTTCAGGAGGTGTCAGCCCCTGCTCCCCACCCAAAATTGCAGATGGTCAGCGTGTGGTGGGGCCAGGCTTGAGCCCACCCATCCTATGGGATGTGGGGATAGAGATGGCAACAGTTACACCCCCACACACAAACAGGTGGATATAGGATATCGAAAAGAATGGCAGAGACAGCTTGGCAACACAGTTTAATAGTGCCCACTGCTTCCAGGAAAAAGACCTTTATCAAAGCACACTTTTTATCAGAGTCTGCAACAGTCACTGCTGAGTGAAAACATGCATAATGCCAGGCAGAGTTCCAATAAATGCTTCTGCTTTTAGGAGCTATTGATTGCTATACTAAGAATTTCTTCTCATCTAGGAAAGGCTTGGGGACCCTTCTAGCAACTATCATGTTTACCCAGCAAACTGGATGGCAGAGGTGTAAATAACCCTGTTTTACAGGTTCCCCCATCATCTGCTTCCTGGGATTGCATGAGGGGTCAGATGCTGAGTGACCTGGAGATTTTTAAAAACTGAGCTCCCCCAGGGTTCCCTAACAGTGCTGCCACCACTCCGTGCCAGGAAGTGGCTACTACAGTCTGCCAGTCATTCCCACAGTGGCCACTGTGCAACCTGTGGGTGGATGGAGCGTGGAGCATCTACTGCATGACGCAGATACTGCCTGAAAATATAATTCCGACTAGTCCAGTCCCTGCAGAAGCTTAGCAATTTTATAGACAAGAGCAAAAAGTTCAGACACATACAAGCCCCTTAATAGTTATTGCAGGGCTGGAGATTTAGCTCAGTGGTTCTGGCGCCTGCCTCGCACGCCAAGGTCCCGAGTTCGATCCTCAGTACCAAAAAAAAATTAGTTATTGCAGACAAAGTATATTGCATTTCCCATATTTCAGGAGGTTAAGGCCACTGAAGAAGGTGGACAGGGGATTTTCACTTACACTGTAGAGGATCCTCATCACCTGACCCTCCTATCAAAGGTGAAACATTGGAGCCACAGGGGAGAGAGAATGGGGCCAAGTCAAATCCTGTGACTTATTTCTTCTTTTCTAGACTTTGTAAAAATGAGTGGGTTAGCCAGGTGTAGTGGCGCACACTTGTAATCCCATTACTCAGGAGGCCGAGGCAGGAGGATTGCTCTGAGTTCGAGGTCAGCCTGGGCTACACAGTGAGTTCAAGGCCAGCTTGAACTACATAGACTTTGTCTCAAAAAACAAAACAAAAAACACATGGGCTATTAATAGTAGCATTTAGGTGAAAACTCTACACCTGGCTAACTTTTTGATCAAAACTAAAGGACGGCTGATGGAGACAAGAGGAGCTGGGAGGCAGCACTGAGATGAGCAGGAGGGCGTGGCCGGGCAGGCTCAGCGCCCACTGTCCCCTCAACACACTCTCCCCAGGGCTCCCGGCCTGCCGCAATGGTGAATACAGGTCAGCGAGGGAGCAGCATGTAACCTGCTGCTCTTGCCTGTTCTAAAGCAACAATTGCCTCAAACTTTGCAGAACAGAATTCTCTGTTAAAACATACTGGGACCAGGTGTGCAACCACATGAGGTAAAAAGGATACTCTAAAATATGACAATATAACTATTAAAATAAAGCCCCCCAATGAAATATGAAAACCTTTACCAAAAATAGTTTATTGCACAAAATTTAAGGAATTCCCAAGCACGTTTATATTCATAAAAAAAATCAACATGCTTCTTAAAGGTACAAACTGTTACACATGGTGACACTTCCCCAGAACTGTCCCAATCTGACCAACTCTATTTTGTGAGGAATCTTTTTTATAGAAATGAGCAACTAAGAACTCTGGAGACCTTTGAAAACAGCCCTCAAGGATCCTGTCTGAAGCTGAGCCCACCACAGGTTGAGATAGAGTAAGACTCACACCACAGCTATTTACGTCAGGGGCCCTTTAAAGGAATGCCCCAGGACAGTTCTCTTTCAAATATGCAGGTCCTTTTCACTCTCAGAATCTTTACACACAACGCTTAAATTTTTGTTAAAAAAAAACCTCATAGAAATAGGAATAATATATGTCATTGTTATTCTGTCTCTGAAATTTTTTTTTTTTTGGTACCAGGGATCAAACTTGGAACCTTGTGCTTGCAAGGCATTTGGCGGAACCACCGAGCTAAATCCCCGGAAATATTATTGTTATTCTGTAGGCTCATGGCTTTTGCAGTAACCGTATACCAAGGAAAGGAAGTTTAAACTGAGAAAGAGTTTAGCACAAGCTTCCTGATGTGGTATACTACAGTGTCTTCTTAGAAGGCTAATCCTGTCCCTTGGACCCAGGCCTGAGTCTAGCTTCAGGTCCTATTGAAAACACTGCCTGTTACTTCTTCCAACAAAGGTGTATAAGTCTGTGAGATCCGTGGCTTTGATTGACATATACCATGAAAAATACTTGATGGATACCACATTGAAATAAATTTTCTTTTGAACATAAGAAAAACAAGGAATGGGCCGGGGATTTAGCTCAGTGGTTCCAGCGCCTGCCTTGAAAGCACAAGGTCCTGAGTTCAATTCCCGGTACCAAAAAAAAAAAAAAAAAAGAAAGCAAAACAAGGAATGACATCATAAGTGCCCAAGACAATACTCCCTGCAACAGGATTCGACAGACAGTGTGTAGGAGTCACATGCACACATGCACTGCAGTGGAAGGCTCTCACACAGTAGTACTCTAGACAGAACTGGTCACCCACAAGCGAATCTTGTAACTCCCACTTCTGCCCACAAGCACAATCTTTGCAGTCACGAAGAATCTAGCTCTGGGAGGTAGAAGTGCAGTAGAGACCCCTGGAGATAGGAAAAATCCCTCAGTGATCAAAAGCAGGCCACTTACAAACCCAACCTCTCTTCAAGGTAACTTTGAAAGGAAGCATGAAGGGAGCACCAGCTTGGGCACAGGGCCTCAGGTCCAGCATGGCAGGCGTGTGCAAAACAAGCACACAGAGACAGACACGGGCTAGGGCCAAGACGGCCAGGCCCTTGGAACCAAGAGGGCCAGGCAATGGGGTGGGCACAGCTAGAGACGAGCCAGGTGTGAGGGACGAAGCGGCACAGAGCAGAGCCGCTTTTCCTGAATGGAGGAGTCAGGGTAGCCTGTTCTTTCCTCACAGGAAAGCACAGCAGCTCAGGAGAAGGCAGCTCTGCCACAGACTGTGCCCAAGGGTTACCTCCTGGTTTAAGACTAACACAAAAGATAATATAACAGAAATAAATAAGAAGGCATATTACCATTTCTCTTTTCTAATGGTACAAAAACAATTTTGTCAAAACAATGTCCAACTTAGGTAAAAAGTAGGATATATTTATAATGAAGTTGTCAAGTATTATTTCAAGATTAACCCTGTACAAATGATATATACATTTAAGAAATTACAATACTTGCTAAGGAATTCTTTTTAAAACACCAAACATCTTTGTTGTTAATGCTACTTTAACCATATCAATTAACCTTCCAATAGTACATTACAAAAGAACATAAACACCTTAAAAATTCCTTACTGTTTTCTCCACAAAATAGATACAAGCAATCTACTAACCGTGCACACTGGGACTGACCAGTAACTCCAGAACTTCATTTCAGAGGCTACTGGACCTCCCTCCCTCTCTTCCTCCTAACTCCTAACAATAAGTATCATTTTAGATTTTCTTAGTAACTAGGGGGTAAGTTTAAAGACCTCATCTCTCCCAGTCAGTCTGCAGCATTAGGACCTTAGGTGGAAAACATCCCAGTAAAATCGCCTCACTTGGTGCTAATCTTAAACAAGGCATCTGTCTTTGAGCCTCCGTTCCAAGGAGACTGCAGCCACTTGCCTGTGGTACCTGCAAGTCTCTTCTAGACATCAGAGCTGATTCCAGGTGATGCTGGCATCCACCACATCACAGGGCCCGGGGAACACTGTCTCAGGAGGCCTGCAGCCCACGTGTGAGTCAGGCCCTCCTCCTCCCCTGCTTTCTTCCACACCCTGTGCCCCCACATGCCAGGTCCTTGCTTCATCTGCCTGGCAGTCAGCCAAGATGGACCATGCCAGGCCAGCAGCCTGACAGGCCAATGTTGTAAACTATGAGGAGACTGGGGAGGAAGTAAAAACCCTCAGAAAAAAGTGAAACTAAAACAATAAAGAATCTTTTCTGTGCAAGAATATTTGGCTTTAGAAGGTGCAGTAAATAAAATATACCTCTTAAAATACAGTTTTTTGACTGACATCCCTAAATCCTACATGTACATTATTACCCAAAAGCAAATTTTCAAATGGCAATCAATAAAAAGATAATCAGTTCTTCTTAAATAATATACGCGTATGCTTTTACAAGATTATGATTTTCAGTGCTTATACACATCCTATGGTGAGATGGCTATTAAAAAAAAGAGAACTAAAAAGCCAAAGGTGCAAATCAAACATTTCTGCAGAAAAGTAAAGCTCTTGCTAAGTGGGATGGAAGAACTGCCTGGGTCCCTGGCGCTGCTGCCCCCAGACCCTGCCCTGCAAAGCCTCTGCCAGAAACCAGTGATGAATGTTACTCATGCCCACTGACACCTCCTCCTGCACAGCACCCACCAGACAGACATCCAGAAACTCCCTCCTGAGCTCTAAACCCGGCTTCTAAGATTTGGTCATTTCATGGGAAAAGCTAGCTGTGGTTTGCAATGACTATTTCTCTAAACCTTGGCTCTTACTCTGTTATTTCACTCCTTTTCAAAGGCAAAAGCAAAACTTAAAATTTCATCTCTCAGGAAAATGTAGAGCACACAATCAAATAAATAGTATTAGAAACGGTACATCCCTGCACACAGCAGCACACTGCCCTCAGTGGTTGGTTGTCACTGCTCCAGGCCTTCTCTGGGTGCCCTGCTGCGACCCTGCTGCTGGGTGTCTCCCCGGGGGTGGGCGTGCTCTCCCAGGGGTGCTTCCACCTGGGTCCAGGAAGACAGAGACTCATGCACAGTGATGGTGTGTTCCTCCATCTGCCGCTGCAGGCTGTCCATCTCCTGCCTGGGGAGAAGGAGAAGGCAAAGGAACAGACCCAGATCACACAAGGGTCAGAAACAAGCCATCAGCTACAGCCTCCTCTGACAAACTTGAGCCCACGGCACCTGGGTCCCTAGCATAGGTGGTACCTCCAAGACCATGGAACTCCTATCCAGGGCCAGCAGAACCAGCCAAGGTCGGAGGTCAGAGTTCTTGGCACTTCCATCCTGTGCTTCAACTTTAGGCAGATACCTGGAACTATGCAAATGACAGACCCAAGGGCCTGATGCCCACCAAGTCACTCTGAGACCCTTGCTACCTGAGGCCAGTGTCACACATGACTTCCACTTACAGGGTAACCTGCCCCTGGGGACCCACATGACCATGACACTGGCCTTTCCTGTCTGACAGCTGATGGGTGCAGAACATCAGGGCTTCATTTTCTGAAGGAACATTGGGAACATTCAATCCCAGCAACCTTCACCTCACAACACGAAGGAGAGGCCCTGCCCATGAGAAGCTCCCACTTCCTGACCACTTACGGTAGCATTGCTTCCTCCCTGCAGCATAGGAGCAATTTCTCCAAGTCAACCCTGCCACACATCTTTACAGTTAATGCAGGGGGCCACAGGGCATACTTAAGCTGCTGCAGACAGCTGTTCAGGTTCTTGAGGGGCTCCTTGTTCACAGCAGGCGGGGGTCTCAGCAGCTCCTCTAGCAGTGAGGCTGGGACGGGGCAGTCTGGGATCTTGATGGGTGTCGCTGGGCTAGAGGAGCTGGCCTCACTCTTCGGTTCTTTCCTCTGTTTGTAAACACATATCATTAGCTTGGGCAGCGGATTTGGCTCAGTGGTTCCAGCGCCTGCCTTGCAAGCACAAGGTCCTGAGTTCAATCCTCTGTACCAAAAAACAAGCAAACAAACAAACAAATAACCAAAAAACCCCAAACATATCATTAGCTGCCCAAGGGCCCTGTCAGTTTCCCCATCACAACCTGAGTCAGATGGGTGCTTGCCCTGGGGGGACTGTCCTGCTCTTTGTATCAGCACAGCCTGACCATCGCTGGAGTTCAAGAAACACTGGCTGAGCTGCATATGGAGCCACAAGCCTGTACAAATCCCAGCACTCTGGGAGGCTGAAACAGGTGGAACACAAGTTTGAGCATAGCCTGGGCAACTTAGCAAGACCCTGTCTCAAAATAAAAAATAATATAAAAAGGGGAGGGAGGGATGTAGCTTGGTACAAAGGCCATAGGTTCAATTTCCAGTACGAAAAACAGGAAGAAAAAAAGGTAGACAGGTAGGTTGGTCACAGGGTGGCAAAGCTTTATTCCTAACGTACATGACAAAGCAGAAATGACCTAAGTCAGGATACTCAAAAAGGATATGGCTGGATCCTAAAATGAAGTTCAGACAGAAGCTTCCAGAGATCCATGGTCTCTATGAGCTTTCCTAAGAAATTAAGTAGTGCTCCCAACTTAGTAAACACCCTTCTCTATGACAGATAGCTTTTTCCCCCCTTCTTCAGGGAGACTGATTCTAGAGAGCACTGAGCTACATCCTCAACACTTATTTTGAGACAGGCTCTCCCTAAGTTGCCTGGGTTGGCCTCAAACTTGTAATTCTCCTGTCTCAGCCTCCTGAATAGCTGGGACTAAAGGCCTGTATGATCAAACCCAGCTAGGACATACAACTTTTTTTTTTTAGGACATACAACTTTTGACAGACAGCAAATGATGCTAAATAAACCTGAGTCAGCGAGAGCTCTTTGCCTCTGCCCCTGGCTGATTCACATGGACTGAGTGGAAATCTGCTGCTGTGCTGGCACCTGAGCAGGGCTGGCAATGTAGCCAGGGGCCCAGCCTGAACCACATGTCACTGCAGCAGGATAGCAGAGCCATTTCAGCACAGTCACTCTCTCATCTGGCTTACAAAGCTTATTGAAACAAAATGGTACTTGGATTCATGAAAAACAGCAAACTTTCTATGGGAAAAGGCACCAAAGTAAAATGATTTGGCCTGGTATCCAAGCAGAATCTACTATTATTATGTATTTTCACACACAACTGTCCAGTGCACCCGGGTTAGCCCAGGGCACACGAACCCGAAACCCACCTTGGCCACGCCACGGCGGAGATCTTGCTGGAGTTGCTGGTTTTGTTGAAGCAGAGTCTTCATGTTGTTCTTTAGCTCAGACACTTTAGCTTGGAGCATGAATTTATCCTTCTGGGTCATGGACAGATCTTCCTGCACCATCTCTAGCTCACACCTGATATTCTACAGAGAGTGAATTGAGATTTTTAAATGCAAAAAGATCTGAAACACACTGTTGAGACCTTCGTTTGTAAATCACTTCTAGCGGAGTGATATTTATTTTTATTTTTTGAGGAAGTTAGGAGAGTTTTTACTGGAAATAAGGAGAAGGAGAATAACTCCTGGGTTTTCAGGACGGGTCTCAAGTGGGGTGGCCTTGGACTGATTTTTATAGGATGAAATGTGAGATGTCTCCCTCTCAGCAGTTTCCTCTCTGGACACCAAGACTTTGAAGGGCCCAGTGACAATCATACCCTAACATCTCACTGAAACTCCAGAGCTGTACCCAGACACAAGCAATATCCATCTAGTTGCCTTGCATAGCCAGCCTCAAGAATTTAATCATTTCTGGGTGACAAATGAGCTCTGACTGTGACTGTGGCCATTTACTTCCACATGAGGAATCTTAGCAAGCCCTACCAGCTTCACAGAAAAGCTGACCCAGGGGACAGACACCTGCCACGAGTGCCACCAGAGCCCAGGAACAGACACCTGTAGCAGCTGCTGTATTCCTTCCAGCTCCTTTCTGCCCTGTTGCTCCGTCAGGTTCAGCTGCTGCTTCAGAGACTGGAGGTCCCGCTCTTTCTGATCCAGCTCCCACTTGAGATTTTCCATCTGAAGGGGGAAGGTTACACGACCAAGGGAATTATAAAGTTGGAGCTCTTATACTGGAACATGGCTGTATGCTATTTCTGCCTATCTTTTAATATTTAGGAAAACATACAGATTCCTTTCCAAGTACGCAGGGCTTGGAGTAAGGGGTCCAGTAGTCACCTCTTGGCTTCCCGCAGGCTGCTGGCTCAGCTGCTCATCCAGCTTCTGCTGCAGGACCTGGAGCTGGGTCCGGGCCTCTGCCAGGTCCACCTGGAACTGTGCTATCTCCTGGGAGTGTTTCCGCTCCTGAATCCTGACATTAGAAAAGGTAAGAATGAAATGACAGCATCTTCCCAGCTTGCCTTCCACTCTGGATATGGCCTGTGGATTGCAGCCATCCTGGTGAGCTCCAGACTGCTCACTTCAGGCTGCAGATGGTGCTGGATGCTTGTAATACTCCCCTGACCCTGCAAATCCCTCTGGAAGACAAGCTCTGTCCACACCATTCAGGGTACAGTGCTGACCACCCATTCACAGATCACATAGTGAGCAGAGGACACCAGGGCTGCAGTGTACATGGCCATGCCCCAGTGTGTCTGAGTTGATGCTATGCTATTGTGGAGCTACAAGGACCTCTTGGTGCCCGGGACACAGTCTAACAGTGAGTGCTCATATAGCTCCCTGTCCCAGGGAGGAAGAGCAAGGCAGGAACGCACCAGGGGAATGAGGCTTCCTGGGATGAGAGTCAGGTAATGGCTCCCTTGATTGATCCCTTAAGCAATTTGGTAAAAGCTAAGTGATTCGAAAGCGGGAGACCCTGGCAGCTTGGCCTCTACCATATCACTGCACTGGGCAGGTGGCTGCCCCATCCCCTCTGGGTTGCCACATGGCCCATCACTCACTGCAGCTCATCAGCCTCGGCCTGCAGTGTCTGCACCAGGTGCTCCTTGGCCTGCAGCTCCTTCTTCACCTCACTCAGCTCCATGGTGGCTGCCTTGAAGTGCCGGCGATTATGGCCAGCTTCCACCCTGGCAGCAGCCACCTATAATGAAGGAGGAAGCTGGCATTACCCACACATGAGGTGCTCTGTGGGGCACCTGAGGCTTGACGGGCAATAAGCACCAGCAGGCAGAGCTGCTCCCAATCCAACACGAGTTCCCCAAAGAACTGAGGGTGCCTGCCACGATGCTCAGCATGCAGCAAGCAAACAGGATGCAGTTGCTAGTGTCCGCTGAATGAACACATTAATTCTTGACTGTCAAGATATCTCCATCTTTCTATTTTATTCATGTATTCTGAGAGCAATTTACCTTCCCATCATACTGTCAAGTCTATCATGTAACTAGTCTCCTTTCTGAAATTTTAATATTTTTCAGACCTAACAGATTCTGTCAAGATTTCTAAGAGGAAAGCAAATTCTTGAAAGTATCCAAAAAATGTAATGGGTGAGGCTGAGGCAGGAGGATCATTAGTTTGACGCCAGCCTGAGCTAAACCCAGTTTCAAAAAATCTAAAAAATTGGGCCAGGGATTTAGTTCAGTGGTTCTACCGCCTGCCTCACAAGCACAAGGTCCTGAGTTCGATCCCTGGTACCAAAACAACAAACAAACCTAAAAAACAAACAAACCAATAAAAAAGAAAAAGAGAGATCAATTTTTAATAATTTAGTTTCCTTGTCTAATGGCACTAACATGCACTTTATTTAAAAGAACTCTTACAAATCATTAAAACAACAACCCCAGGTGGGGGTATGCATAGCATAGCTCAGTGGTAGAGTACTTGCCCCGCAAGCACAAAGCCCTGGGTTAAATCCCCAGCATCACAAAAGAAAAAGAACACAACTCGAATGGAAGATACTGACAGTATTGTCACTAGGTGGAGATGTGAGATGATCTAACTCTCATCTTTGTGCTTTTTAAAATGCTTAACCACTGTGTACTATTGTTAAATCAGGGTAAGCCTAAATGCATTTACAGGAAAAAATAAGCAAAATTCACAAGTCTTCTAAAAAAAGAAAGAAATCAAAGTCACATACACGTCATTTACTTCCCCCAGCACTTTTATTTATAAATTGTCTTTTTTTCTTTTTTTGTAGTACTGGTTTAGGGCCTTGTGCATGCTAGGCATGTGTTCTACCATTACATCCCCAGCCCTTTTTACGGTTTGTTTTTTTTTTTTGGTACTGGGGCTCGAACTCGGGACCTTATGCTTGCAAGGCAGGCACTGGAACCACTGAGCTAAATCCCCGGCCCCCATTTTATGTTTTTTAATTTGGGACAGGATCTTGCTAAGTTGCCTAGGCTGGCCTTGAATTTTCATTCCTCCTGCCTTGGTCTCTTGAATAGTTGGTGTTACAGGCATGTGCAACCACATCTGGCTATTTATGCCTTCTTTTAAGTTAAGAATAAACTTTCAGCAGGAAGCTCAGGTTCCAATGGTGAAGAAAAAAGCCCGGGCCAGAGGAGGTCGCCATCAGCTTCTGCACAAAGGGGTGCAAGTGGCATCTTTCTTGTCTGCACATCACCCACATGGGCAGTGTGTGTCTAAATCAGCACTGCAGGACATGGATACCTGTTCCTAACAGAGACTAATATGCTCAGTCCATCCCCCTTAGGACATAACTGTGTAGCCATCTAATATGATGCCACCTTGCAGCCTGTCACCATCACACAGCATGGACAACACTGAGCCCCAGAAGGAGCAGAGTGGGAAAGGTGCCTCCCAGGCCCCTGCGGGCTGTGGGTGGGCAGCTGGCCACGCACCTGCTTCTTGAGGCTGCTCACTTCTGCCTTCTCTCTCTCCAGTGAGGCTTGCAAGGCCTGGACAAGCTGCTTCATCTGGCGATCCTCTTCCTCTTTACGCTGCAAAACTGCCTGCACCTAGACCACATTGCAGAAGGATGGCAAGGAGGCACCATTGCAAGAAACTGGCAGAGCCCACAGTGGGTGCCGTGCAGGAAGCCCCGCAGGCTGAGCACACGCACCACAGGACATTACGGAGAGGAACAGTGAAGAGAGCCCCTGCTATGGCAGCAGGCATCTGAGGTCACGGGGTACAGTCACATGGTCCCAGTGACACATGTATGTTGGGGTACAAACACAAACGTCATCATGTGTGGCAGTAGAGAATGGGAGTGGTGGGAAGAAGGGTAAAGAAAATACTCTCTGGAAGGGGTAAGGGGGCACAATGTGGCCCTCTCTGAAGACTCCCAGAAGTCCCAGCCATCCCTCAGGCCACAAAGCAGATGTGGAACCCAGGAGCTAAGAACAGTCTGGGTTAGACCCAGTTCTGACCTGTGTGAGGACAAAGGTGAATATCCACTGCCCCTGTGACTGCCTAGGACTGGAGGACAGCCTGCCTGCCCTGCCAGGATCACCATGCAAAAGGAATGAATGATCTCTGGTTTCACATTCAGAACTCCCCACTTTACCCCTGCAGCTCAGAGATCTAGGCTTGCGAGTTAACCAGACTCCCCAAGCTCTTGTTTGTTTCTCCCTAAGACAAGGAGGTCATGTTCCCGTGAGTGCTCACAGTGACATGATGTGTGCAACACTGATAGTGTACTAGGCCCACCAGCTCTCATTACCCTGGCACCTGAGTCTAAATACCTGCAGATTCAGCTGGACCAGGTCAGCTTCCCTCTTGGCTAGCGCTGTCTCTAAGACGCTGTTGTGCTCCCGCAGGGCTGCATTGGACTGTCCAAGGCCTGTGAGTCTCCCTCTCTCATGTTCCAACTCAAGAGCCAACTTCTTATTTGACTCCTCAAGGCGCTTTATCTTCTTTCTGAAGCCTCTGGACTCTTGAAGCTAAAACGTCAAAGTGACTGAAATGACCTGTTGTGCTACATGGAATCACTGTGCTCCCAGAAACAGGAGGGTGGTTTTCAGCAGGAAACAGCTGGCAGTAGAGCCAGCACACATTGCCCTCGATCCATGACTGAGGCTGCAGGGGCTATGGCAGCTACTCTCCAGGGACCATAGCTTCCCGGGAAGAGGGTGCAGGGACTGTGCAGCCAGCGGAGCCACTGCACAGATGAACATGAACTGGGCTGACCTCAGCAACACATTTCAAGATGAGACAGATTGCTGAATGAAGCAGGCAGCCCTGGAGGGACAGATGGCCCCCTGGAACTCCTGGTGGAGGGGCCAGGGGCTACCATGGCTCAGTGACAGCATCGAGCTGCAGTACATGCCACCTGAAGCTAGAATTGCTTCTCACTCTGAGTTCTTTTAAAGGTTCAAGTTAGAGTTTGTAACCAAAGCCTTCTAACCAAGTAGAAGTTTCCAGTACGAATCCCAGTGACCATTCCACTGGATATAAATGGCTGACAATGTCGCAACCCTCCATAGAGTGTGGGGGACAGTCTGGCCTGCCTCTGTGCTCTGTGCTGGGTACAGCTCGGGGTTACCTCGTCCTCCAGCTCTAGCACCTTCTCCCGGGACTCCTCCAGCTCCTGGCTCGTCATGGCAATCACCTCCTGAAGCTCCTTCTCCAGCATCAGCTTGCTGTGGCCAATGCTCTGCAGTTCCACCTCCAGTGCCTGGATCCTCTCCTACAGTAGATGGCGCAGTGTGGCTGGTCATCAACCCATGACAGGTCCTCACCCCAAGCCTCCCATGAAACTCTGGCCCTGAAGCTGCCTGGCCTCGTGCCAGTCATGCTCTCACACACTTCTTCTCGCGAAAGGGTCTGAGGTCACCAACCACAGCATTCATACACTATGACACAGACAGGTACCACCCACACAGACAACAGATCATCCCATTAAACAGTAAATGCTCTGGGAAAACAGAAAAAAAGTCTAACCAGCAGTAAGGGCTCTGTGGTGTGTGAGCTGCACTCTGGATCACGAACATAACACACACTTGTTCATACACGCAGGCACATGTTCACACGTGGGCAGATGTGCACACACTACACACATGCTTACACATGCCAGACACACTTGCTGCCACCATGGTGGAGGTCCTGTTCTGAACACGCTTCTGGTTCCACTCAACTACTTCCTGAGGAAGGTTCTAACCCCTACCTGCTCTGATTTCCTCTGACTGAGGATCAAAGACACATGGTAACACTACAGACCAAACCCATGACTGTCAGCTGCAGGTTCCAGCTGATCCAAAGGAGTAAAGAAGAGAGATTTTAAAGTAATAAGAAACATGACAATTGAATAGATGCTCTCTCAGGATTTTCTTGCCATACTTAGGGATTGAACCCAGGGCCTTGTACATGGTAGGCAAGTGCTCCACTACTGAGTTACATCCTTTACTTTCTTTTATTCTAAGGCAGGGTCTTGCTAAACACCCGAGGCTGGCCTCACAGTTGAGATCCTCTTGCCACAGTCTCTCAAGGAGTCGGGATCACAGGTGTGCCCCACCATACACAGCACCCTTGATATTTTATAGTCACTAAGGGGGAGGAGTATTTACTCAATTGAACAAGAAAGCACCATGTTATGATATAGTCTCTTCCAACTCATGAACTCTTTAAGTGGACAGGAGACAGGAAAATTTCACATGAGAAATGCAATGATAAGCCGGCATGGCAGCACATGCCTATGATCCTAGCACTCTGAAGCTGAGGCAGGAGAATTACCATGAGTTCACACAGTGAGTTTAAGGCTAGTGAGACCTTGTCTCAAACAATAAAACAAAAACAAAAAAAGAATAACAATTTTTTAAAAAAGAAAAAGAAATACAATGATAAAGAAATGTAACCAGTATAATTCAAACAAATTCACTCCGGAAAAATTTAACCCCTTCTAGTAAAAGTAGAAAACAGTAAGCTTCAAAGCTGGCAAGGATGAGAGGACTGTGAGCTTCTGCATGTGAAGACTACGGGGTTCTGCAGGTGCCCATCTCTCGCCAGCAAGGCTGGCACAGGTACACCGGGGCCCCCATAAGCACCGGCTTCCCCTTGACCCCAGGGCCTCCATCCTCCCCAGGACATGGCCCTGCTGTTCATCCCAGCAGATGGAAGCAGGGGGTTCCTTGCACACAGTGCTACGCGCAGGAGGGGCAGCTCCAGTCACGGCCCCAGCCCAGTCCCCTTCTGAGGCTCCTTCTCCCCACCCAACCTCCTGCACCTCACTCTGATCTCAACGCCGCCCCTCCCCATGGAGCCCAAATCTGCCCACTCCGTTGTCCTCTTCTACTGCCCTTGGTGGCCTGTTTCCTGTCCTGCTCTTTCCACTTCTGGACCACTGTGGCAGAATCAGTGCTGCCTCTTGCCTGTCTCTCCCATCTCAGGGTCCTAACCCACTGCCTGCTGGTGCCCAATACAGGACAGGAGGAGCCCCACAGGTAGCTGTCTGGGCTTCATTATCAGCAAGGCCAAGCCCAAGCTCCTTCCACCTAAAATGCCCTCTTTGCCTCTCCAGGGCATCCTCCTCCTGCCAAACACTGGCCCAGCCCCACTGTACCCGTACCCCTCCCTCGCTCAGCCACTCCTCTGTCCACACTCCAGGACCCTGGGCTGCATGGCCAGAGCAGAGTGCAGGGCAGGTCCTACTTGTGCCTCGCAGCCAGAGCACAGTTTCTCCAGACCATGGAGGCTTCTCGGTGAAAACAGTTCCCCACTACACACTGCTGAGGGATGACGAGGCTATGGGTACTGTGCACAAGTCACTAACGATACCTGTGTATTTCAAAGAAATGCTACCCACACTTTTCAGTTCTACCAGCTTTAAAAATTCTCTTTTAGATGGGTTTAGGGGGAGAAAATGTTTATAAAACATCTTTGCCCTACACTCAAAGAGTCTCCATGGCTCTGGGAGAGCGAGGTGGGGTTTACCTACATGTAGGACAGGGTCACTGTCACTGCTGGTGCTCTGGGCTCTGAGCTGGCTCAGCTCCATGTCTGCAGCCTCTTTGGCAGCCAGAGCCTCTTGCAAGCGGCGGCTGAGGATGCTCACAGCATTCTCGTAGGCCTTGTGCTTGGTCTTCATCTCCTTCTGGGCACTGGTCAGATCTGAGCCCAGCTGCTTCATCTTCTGCTTCTGCTCTGTGATGGCCCTGGGACATGAAGGAGACACAGAGGAGGCGGCTGACCTCCAATGCCGTTGCCCAGTTTCCTGGCCTTCCTGCCCAGTGCTAAGGGCTAGTGAATGGCATCCTGTTCACCCTCAAGGGCTGGGCGGGGCTTAGACCCAAGCTTAGCCCAATCCCGATTACTGCCCCAGCCTGGCTGCCAAGGGGAGCATGAGGGCAGGCAGCAGGTGAGTACTGTCCTGGAGGCCCTGGGAGGTGAAGGAACACGCATGGCAGGGACCTCTGGAAGCCACAGAGGAAGCAAGAGCTTCAGGAGTTTGAGTCATGTCTGCTAGACCTGCCCTCCTCCTGGAGCAGTTCTGAAATGACCTGGTAAGGGCAGGGTAACAGCCCGCTCCTACCTAACAGAAGTGCACCCAGCATTCTTCCTGATAGTCAGCAGGAAATCCCACAACTAGGCTCATTAGGGAATCAGCCAAAAGAGACAAGCAGCACAGGCCATGGTATGTAGGTAAAAAGCCTCAAAGGCTATCTGCACATGTGTGCACATGTGTGCACAAGTACACACGTATGTGCCTGTGAAGGCTTGTGTTCAGGATTATGTGAGCACAAAATGAGGTATAGGAGGAATACCACTGTGTTGCCCTTGGTGAGAGAGCAGGAGCTGCAGGATGTTGCTGTAAGTATGTGGCACAAAAAGCTGAAAGAAAAGAGAAAGGAACGGGAGTGTCTGGGCTGGGGTGTGTCTCATGGTAGAGACTGCTTAGCAAGCACAAGGCTCTGGGGCGGATCCCTAGCACCATCAAAAATAATTTTAAAAGGTAGCTCTTGTTAAAGGATGCATGAGTAAACCAGCTTAGGAACTCCAGGACTATTTTGTAGAAAAAGCAAGTGCTCAGTATTGGTGGAGCTTTAAACTTGGACCTGAATGCCCTCAGCTACCTCTCCAGAGGCAGAGTTAGTCCTCATTGAGGGCATCACCCACAACCACAGACACGCTGTGTGCAGACTCACTTTTTGGCCTCTTGCTGCAGTGCTTCTATTTGCTCCTTCAGTGCCTCGTTGGCCTCTGTAAGAGTGACCATCTGCTCTTTGTCAAACTGCAAAGACTTCAAAGAAAAAAAGGCCTGTGAGAAGTGCAAAGCCACTTGCTGCAGATGTCTGCCTTTGACAAATGAAAGTTTGTAGAGTTCCCATTACTGTGTCTGGAGCATGAGCAGTATGGTGAGGAAGGGTAGGTTGGCAGGAAATTCACTTTCCTTGTGTACCTGCCTGGATTCCCCAGGGCCCTCCTAGGCCTCACTGCAAACCGCTGAATGATGGGCATCTGTCCCCTCCCTTTGCCGGACATTTTGGTCCTTTCTATGTTGTGAATCTCATGGAGACCCACAGGGTTCTGCATGCACTCTGCCCTAGACCTGGGCCACCCTCCAACTGCTCCCTGCACACAGGAAACCCCGCCCCACACATTTCAGGCAGACCTGCAGGTATGTCTCCATCTCGTCTCGCTCCTTCTGTGCTGACTGGAGGTGCTCCTCAAGGTCAGCCATCTGCTGGTGGGCCAGGGACACTTCCTTCTGCAAGCGAGAGTACTCCACCTCCACGGCCCTCTTCCCTCCCTGCAGCCTGAGCAGCTCCTGCCTCAGCTCCTTCATCTCCAGGTCCAGTCGCTTTTTTGTGGCCTTCAGCTCACTAATGAGCTCGTCTTTAGAGGTGGTATCCCGCCGGTAGGCCTCCACCATCACCTGCACACAACACTGCTAGAGTTGGTGCCCAGTGGGGGCTTACCAGGGGCATGACAGCTTAAAACAACTCATTTACCGGGGCTGGGGATTTAGCTCAGTGGTGCCATGCCTGCCCTGCAAGCCAAAGGTCCTGAATTCAATCCCTGGTCCCCCCCAAAAAACAAAAACAAAACAAAACAAAAAAACCAACTCATTTACCATTCAGCTAGAGCATAACATTTGAGCTAAAGACAATGTATTTCACCCAGTGTAAGACACTACCCACTGAGGTATCCCACTGCTCTGCACTAGGAGAGGCAGCATCCTAGTGACCTGGGCCTTACAGGGGGCGAGGGCCCTTGTCCATCTGAGGGACCTTGGCTGCATGGCTGCAAGGTTCTCCCTTACAGGCCAGTAAGTGACAAACCAAAACACCACTTAAATAAAGCACAGCTTCCTCTCACAGCCTCCTGGGGCACCTGGGCGGGCCCCTGTGAGGAGTGTGAATCAGAGGCATCCTCCATAGGAAACACTGCTTCCACACACAGAATCTGTGTCTCATGTCTTCCGGGGACACTAATCTGTTGTAATGTTGGACCGCGGCAAGCACTTTTCAAAGATACTTCACATGACAGACAACAACCTGCACACAACGTTCAACACACATGGCTCTCTGGAGTGACAGTAACAGGGTGCTGTGACAAACACCACAGTGGTAAGTGCCTCGCATGGCCCACACGGGGACATGCTGACCTCACAGACTGTGACAGGACGTGTGGAGGATCTGGATCTTTCCATCCTTCTGAATGATTTCATTCTACCAAAGCCAACAGACCACAAAGGGCTGCATCTGACACGTGTTTCACTTGAGAAAACTATGTCCTACCTTCTGCTGAAGGAACTGCTCCTTCACCTTCTGTGTCTGCTTTCTCAGGGAGGCCGCCTCCTGTTGCAGGTGCTCCACCTACGGGACGGGTTTGCACATAGGTGGCCTCAGGGGTCTAGGAGGCCTGTGCTCTGGCAGCACAAAGAGGAAACCCCATGCAGGCCAGTAGTCCAGGTGCGCAGGCAGGACACAGCCCCACATCCTTTTTCCTCACCCCATAACAGCACCAAGATGGGGGAGTGAGGAGGGGTGTGGAGGGAGCGTTCTGGACTAGATATCCACAGCCCTCCCTGGAATGGCCAGTGGGCCATGCATCTGCTGCAACTTCTCTGGTCAGGTCCTGCAGCACAAAAGCAGCCACAAACACTATGTAGAGAACAGTGAGGCTGAGCTCCAGAGAACCTCAGCATGCAGGGGCCCCAGGCCCTGCAGCCTCCCACCTAAAGGGTCAGAGAGCTCACCAAGCTACACCCAACCACATGGAGATGCTTCTGAAGAAGCCACGTGACACGAGGGCCCTCGTGGCACATAGCAAGAAAGGCACAGGTCCACATCAAATGACAGTCATGCTGCGATGTGACAGCCCCCCGAAGCCATCACAGTGAAACGTTGTTCACCACGCAGCAGCTGGTCTGGGTCAGTGCATCTGCCTGGGTCACTGTCCTGAAGATGCGGTCAGTGTGCCTGAATGGGTCGCTGTCCTGGGGTGTGGAGGTCACTGTGCTCATCTTGTTCACTGTCCTGGGGGTGTGGGGGTCAGTGTGCCCACCTGGGTCACCATTCTAGGGGTGTAGGGTCAGCGTGCGTGTGTCTGGGTCACTGTCCTGGAGGTATGGGGTCAGCACATCTGTCCCAGTTAGGGAAGAGGCTGTTTCTGTTTTCTCCTTTGAGACTAGAACATGTTCCACAGGAGCATGTGATCACTTGGGCCCAGTGAGGAATGAACATTCTTTCCTGCAATATGGAGGTGGCTCTAAGCTTCTCCATCAGGAACTATCCACGAAGGACCAAGGCACCAGTTGTTCCAGATACATCATTTATCCCCTGTAAGCATCCTTGTCACGTTCCCCTGACCCTGTGCAGTTCCACAGAAAAGGCAGAAGAAAGGGACCCAGGCCAAAGGCAGCCCGTGTGGACAGGGCAGTCTCAGGGATGCCCAAGGATGAGCATCCATGCCAGTGAGGGCCACAGGGACTGATACCCAGCAGGCTGGAGGCTGGGGAACAGTCATATTTCTTCATTAGGCTGCCTCTGGTTCTCAGGTCAGGAAGAGACTTCAGAATTAGAAAGACAGTAGCTCAGGGTGAAAGTAACACCACCCTGCTACCTTCCATCTCATTAGGAAAAGCATCATAACTCAAGGGCACCTGCAACCAGCTTTGTCAGTAACAATGCAGGTAAAATGCTGATATGATCAACACTGTCTAGTGCTAGCCCAGGTCTCCCTAACCAAGATACGAATCAGTAGAGAACCCTGATGACCCTTCTAAATGAACACCCCAAAGGAAACAGATCAGAGCCCCTCTTACACTTGACCCTGTGGAGGGAGATGTAAGGGCTGAGCCATTCCCTAATGTTAATTTTACTTCCTGCACATCCTTCTTCACTCTGTCCAGATTTTAAAAATACATTTGCCTACACCCAACTGTGTTGCACTATTAGCTGACTGGTTCCTGCCAGGTATGACCTGCTGCCAGGCTGTGGTCTCAGTACTGGGATCCCAGGGTGGCTGACAGGTCCTCCCTGCCCCTCCCTGTGCCCTATCTCACCTCAAGAAACTAAGTTTCTTATAGCTCCTCCCTAGGCTCAGGTCCATATCCTCAGCAGACAGAAGATGGTATTTCTTGGCAGATGACTTTTAAAAGCCCTAAACCAAACTCAGGCTCCCAGTTCTGTGTTTTTCTCATCCAGAAGCCTAGGTGGAGCTGGGGCAGAGCATGAGCCACTGGGGCCCCTGCCCTACAGAATTCTCCCACATGCATGGGAGGATGATCACAACATGGTGTTGCCCCGGTTACCTGGCTGGACTTGACAGCCAACTCTTGTCTCAGCTGCTCTAAAAGTCCTGATGTCTCCTCAGTACCTTCTTCCAAGCGCCTCGCTTCCCTATCAAGCTCCTCCTTGCCACTCCTGGCTGCCTGCAGAGCCACCTCCAAGACAATCTTCTCGTTCTGCAGGAAGCGGACCGTGTCCTCCCTGACAGCAGCCTCCCCTTGCAGCTCCTCCAGCTGTGCCTGTAGCTCATTGTATCGGGTGTGAAGGTCTTCTAGGGACTGTTCCCGAGCCTGCAGGGCCTCCTGCGCCAAGGTGAGCTGTTTCGCCAGGCCCAAGTGCTCCTGCTGCAGCGCCACGAGCTGCTGGTCTCGCTGCTGCTGAGTCAGCTTCACCTGCAAACAGAAGTAAGTTCACCCTGCTGTCCTCACCCCTGCATTGACAAGTTTTTCCCTGTTCAGGATCTAAATAACTTCGATGGGCTCTTTGGAGGGTCTTTTTAAAGCCAAATTCTGAGCCAGGCACGGTGCTACATGCCTATAATCCAGCACTTGGGAAGCTGAGGCCAGAGGACTGCCACAAGTTCAAGGCCAGCCTGGGATACATAGTGCTTTCAAACTTCACCCTGAACTACATAGTGAGACTCTGTCTCAAAAAAAAAAAAAAAAGCAAAATTCTGATGCAGAGCATGAACAGAGGTAACCTGGCACTCATGGTCTGATGGTAATCCTTTGCACATATTCCACAAACAACCCAACACAACCCACACTGCCTAGCAGCCTCACAGGAGAGGTCACTACACAGGCTGGCTGTAGTCAGCCCTGGTTGTGCACACTGGTCGGGCCCATGGCCACAGGGCCTCTGTGTGCCTGAGTCCAGGGCTGCAGCAGGTACTTGCCTGTTCTAACTGCTGCTCCAGGGCCACTGCTGAGTCTGCCACCTTCTGCAGCTGCTCCCGTTCGGTCTCAAACTCTTCTAGCCTCCTGTGAAGATCCTCCTCCACCATTGTCTTTGCCTCCCGAATCTGCACAAAGGCTGCTTCCTGATCCAACATGTCAGCCTGGGCCCAGGAAACAGTATTTAAAAAGCAGGGAAAACAGCAGCCTAGGGTTAGGGAAACCTGCTGGGCTGAAATGCCCTTTGTTCACATCTCTATCCTGTGTACAAGCTACTCAGTGAGGGGCTCATGCTGCTCACCTGCCACAGGGTGACTCCTAGCATGGGACTGACCCAAGGGAGTGGCAGGCAAACACCAGTGTTAAGAAGGGGGATCTGGGGCCGGGGATTTAGCTCAGTGGTTCTGCCGCCTGCCTCGCAAGTGCAAGAACCCAAGTTCGATCCCTGGCACCAAAAAAAAAAAAAAAGAAGGGGGATCTGCCTAGCACAGTGGTGCAAACTTGCAGCCCCAGCAACTTGGGAGGCTGAGGCAGGAAGATCACTTGAGCCCACAAGACTGACAACAGCTTGGGCAACAGCTAGACCCAGGCTTAGAAAAAAAGAACTGGGATCAAGGGATGGATTAGCCTCCTTGGTATTTCTAGTGGGAGAACAGCGGGCAGCATGTTCCACCTTCCGGAATATAGTACATAAAATTTTCTCTTTGACAAGACTGCTGCTCTGTATCACTTAGTAAAACAAAGTAAGAGAAGGAACCATAGGATATGGTACTCATTCCATTCTGACTGTGTGAATGAGACCTGGCATCTTAGTACATTTCTTAGGGAAAAAGACTAGTTAATAACTCAAAATGGGCCAGGGATTTAGCTCAGTGGCACCGTGCCTGCCTCAAAAGCAAGCATAAGGTCCTGAGTTTGATCCCTGGTACCAAAAAAAAACAATCTCAAAATGTTTTTGGTCTTTTTAACTGAGCCCTTTGCCATTACATTGATATGATGATGACTCTCTTCCATTATCCAAGCCAAAGAGCCCCGTGATTCACACAGAAAAGGAGGCAGGTACAAAGTAGCAAGATGAGAAAAGAGAAAAGTCTGAGGAAAGTGGACTTTCTGTATGACTTTTTACAAAAGGGCAGGAACAAAACTTATAGCAGCACTCTCAGCACAAGGTGAGAGTGTTACATGTTACAGTTTCTTCTTTATGTTTTCTAAAAAGGACATTAAACAAGTTTACTATCTATTTTATAAAAGAGGAAACCAGGCTCTGAGTGATTAAGAAATCTCCCAGGTTCTCACAGGCACAAAAAGCAAGCAGGAGGGCTGGGGATTTAGCTCAGTGGCACCATGTATCACGTAAAGATGACTGGGCAGACAGCAGCAGCAGTAATAAAGACCTCATGTGGTGCGGGAAGACGAACTAGCAACACAGGTGAAGTGTGTGGAATAAACACAAAAGCCTACACGAAGAAACACCATGTCATCCAGCATGCAAGACACAGCAAGACCCTGCTCCCCCCATCCACTCTTTCCAGCCCGGGCCCCAAGGTGACACCGACATGCAGGTCCAACACAGGGTGGGGCCCCTGAGCCCTACGCAGCTTTTAGAAACATCCATGTTTACATATATACATAATATAAGATGTATGCATGCTTATGTTTACGTGCACATATTATGCTTAGGACTAAGTGCAGTGTGTTTTCTCACTCTTGCCAGTGACACCAAAGGCAAACAGAAACTGGCACCCACCACAGCCCAACCCTCACCTCAATGCTCTGGAGCTGCACAGCTATGCGCTCCTTCTCCTTGATGGACCTGTGCTGTGTCTCTGTCAGCTGCTGGGACAGAGACACATTCTCAAGCTTCAGGTGCTCCAGGAGGCCAGCCTGGGTCATCTGTCCAACCTTCAAAGAAAGACACGAGGGTAGAAAGCTGCGCAGCTTCAGACGTTAAGTGCAGAACAGCCTGTCCCAAGCTATCAGGGTAAGAGTCTCTGCCCACCAACAGCACCAGCTTCCCTCTTGATGGCCTGTGCAGCAGGGCCTGCCCCACCCCGGGACTCACCCACAGGCTGCCCTGCTCCAGTCTGGGGCCTGCCTCAGCTGACCGTCTCCCCATGAAAAGGGGCCTGGGGCCAGCTCCCCAGGGGCGAGGGCAACACTGACAGGCCTGTGGCTGGACTGCCCCCCCAACTCTAGTCCCAGCGGTTGTCTGGACTGAGGGTGGAAGGTGTGACAGTGAGGACAGCTTTGGGCTGAAAAGAAGCCGCTGGGGCAAGGGAAGGTGGCATGGCCGTGTGGTGTCGAGGCACAGAAGGACGGCAGTCTGCTCCACGCGTTTCACCCTGTGAACAGCTACTGGGAACCAAGGGAGAATTAGGGGCAAACCAGCAAAAAACCCTAATTCCACAACAGTGAACCTGGGCACCAAAAGAAAGCAAGAAGGTTCTCAAACGGCCACTTCCTTTGGTTCCCCCTTTATTTCTGTCTTCCAAATTGCATTTCTGACTTGTTTACACAGAAAATCTTGCTCATTTCTCTAAATGCTTTACCCTGGTACAAATGCACTGCAGCTTGTGGTGCATTAATTTGCATAATGACTGATGTTCAAGTACACTGGAGTATAAGAAATACTTTTCCATATGGTCCTTTAGCTTAAAAAATGTAATATAAACTTAAGAACACTTCTGCTTTGCATTTGTAAACTCTAGATAAAAAAGAAAAGGAGGGCCAGGGATTCAGCTCAGTGGTTCCAGCACCTGCCTTGCAAGCGCAAGGTCCCGTGTTCGATCCCCAGTACCAAAAAAAAAAAAAGAAAAGGAACATTTGGTGGAGATGGTATTTTATATGCTGTACTTGAAAAATAAAATTTCAATGAATCTGTAATATTTTATCTGGGGAAAAAAAAAAGCCCACAGTTAAATTTTCAGAAGGTTGACCAAAAGTACTCTTCAGCTACTTCACTCTAGGCACTAAGCTTCAGAGCAAAGTGCATTCCAGCAGCTTCCTGTTCCTCCCCTCATCTCCAAAGCACGCTACCTGAGACTGCCAGCCTCATGCCGACGTGCACATACATCAATGCCACCCCATCCAGTGACACACAGAATAACACATGTTCACCAAGATGCATTATATAAAAGTACAATTCCCAATGAGAAATGTAATTGTGTTGTATACCTACAATGTACCAATAAAAGAATTTAATACAAAAAAAAAAAAAAAAGAATAACACATGTTCCCACATAAGGAGAACCAAAGGCTGGTGTGGCCAGCATCTAGTAACAAAGCAAAGAAAATGTCCTCTATACAGTCAAAAGAAAAGAAAAAAGAAAATGTCCTCTACAGGACCTGGAAGTAAGAGTTCACATAGGAATAATTTGGTGATTATATATTCCTCAGTTCAAGCAGCCAAGGCCAGGAAGGGAACGCCTGCCATACTGTGTGCCTGATGGAGAATGTCACAGGGGAGGGATGCAGGGCAAGGCGCCCAGGTGGGGGACCCCTGAGACCCAGCAGGTGTGAATTTGAGGGAAGAGTTACCCTTCAAAAGAGGGCTGAAGCTGACTAGCAGAGCCTGGGGCATCCCAGAGCAGGCATTTCAGAATGAAAGACTCAGGTAGAAGCCAGAAGGCTCTGTGTGAGAAGGTCATGCAGAGGAGTACCCTGCACAGGAGGGGTACAGAGCACACTCATGGATAGCACACTTTAATGGAAACATCCTTTTAGTTTAAGATAAAAGTATGGTTCCCCAAGGTACAGGGCATATGCCTGTCGTGCTGAACGAAGTCCATGGGCCATACCTGGATATGGGCCACCTCACCCTGCAGCCTGACCCGGGCCTCCTGGGCCAGGGCAAGCTGCTCCTGGTACCACTGCCGGGCATGCTGCAGAGATGCGATCTCAGCCTGCGATGCCTGCAGCTTGCTGGTCAGCGTCGTGCGCTCCAGCTGCACTTGCTGGAGCTGGCTCTGCAGGGCTGCCATCTGCTGTCGGAGGTCATGCACTGAAAGGGAGAAAGCACAGACCACTTAGGCCTGCCAGCAGCACAGGAGGGCATGAGCTCTTTGGGCATCTGACAAGAAGCTGGCCCTACAGAGAGCAGGGAAGGTGGACCTGGCTATCTCAGGAGCCAGGCGCTACAAAGTTGCCACTGCACTGTGGATGTAGACCACTGCTCCTGGGAGACACAGGGCTGGGTTCTGGCAAGCTTTCAGTCACATATTCATCAAGCCACGTGTAACCTTTATTTACATGTGGCTGTTTAAAGACACCTTAATATCTGTTTTCTTTCCTCAATATCGAGCTGATGGCCAGTAGCTATGAGTCAGCCATGGCTGCTGAGCAAAGTTCCCCTAACCAACACATCTTCTCCACTAATAGCTCACAGTCCCTCACACTGAGCACACCAGTGTTTGGGGGCATTTTAAGCAGCAAAACCACTGTGAGGAACAGACACACAAGTCTGGCCCTGAAAAGACTACAGAAAGGACCTAGCTCATAGCCTGAGCTGAGGGAAAGTCTTGGGGAAGGGAAGACCTGAGGCAAACAAGAGGGCAGCACACTCCTGCAGCCAGCCACAGGTACATTGGGAACTCAAGTTTTTGTCACTCTCCACATGTCCACAAAAGGCCACGAAGAGCTATGAGTACTGGATTGGGAGCTGCAAATAAATTTAAGCAAGTAGGCAAATTCAGTTATGGAATCTCAAGTACTGCAAACCAACTGTGTGCACGAGATTGCCATGGACACCCTGGCACTGCCTTCAAACCACCTGGCCATGGCTGTCAGCTACCAGCAAACGCAGCAGTAGAGTCCTGGGCCGGCTGCCCCCAACTCTTGCTGGTCTGCATGTGTGGCCAATTCTTAACATCAGCAAGGGCAGGGCAGGAGGAGCACAAAGGGAGCCAGGAAGGCGCTGATAGCCCAAATCACAGAACCAAAAACTCAGGTACTTTTATACCTAAATTATACCCCAAACTAAAGAATGCAGTTATCATTCCGAAGATATTTTTCAAAATTTTTATTTTTTAAAATGTATTTTATTGTCTGTCCATCCCCCCACCCCCCAGTAGTGGGGATCGAACTTAGGACCTTGCCCTTACCAGGCAGGCATGGAGCCACTGAGCTACATCCCTGGCCCATTTTACTGGTTTTTTGGAAACAGTCTCACTACGTGGCCCAGGTTGGCCGTGAACTCACAGAGATCCTCCTGCCTCAGTCTCCTGAGTGCTGGGATTACAGGCAAAGCCAATTTCTGAGACCTAACTCATTCCCCTGGATGTTCATGCAAAAATGTACAGAATCATGTCAGTTCAACCAAAGCTGTATTCACTTTAGCAAGTAGACACCCAGTATCAGTCATACGTTAATGCCACCTGCAGCTGAGTTCACCAGGAGGCCAGGTGCCAGGTCCAGCAGCAGCAGCTCGAGCCCAGCCTCACCTGTGTTGTCCTTGCTGAGGATGCTTCTCTGCATGTCCTCAACTTTGGCCATCAGTCTCCGGTACTGTTCCTCTGCCACCTGTAGGTCATTGTTTGAAGATGCCAGGCTGGCATTCTTGGCTTCCAACATGTTCTGCAGGTCAGTCATGGCCTGCTCCAGGTCCCAGCAGGACTGCTTCAGGGTGTCCACCTCGGAGCTGAGGGAGTCCTGCTTCTGCTGGCTGCTGTGGCTCCGCTCTACCTGGGCCTGCAGCCTGGTGTGTAGGGCAGCCAGCTGGGCCTGCAGCTCTGCCTTTTCCTGAAGTGCCTGGAAGTATCAAGCAACCACACACTTTCAGAAAAGTGAGTCACTTCTGTCCAGTGTGTTAACAAGACTGCCAATACAGGGAGACAACCGTGACTCACAAGTGTGGCCAGTCCAGAGGCAGCTCACAAACACTTGCAAAACTGTACCCAACAAAGAACCACACATTCTTTTCAAAGACTGGACAATCACACACTCAAACATCCCTTACCTGACTGGCCTCTAGTGATAAAGCCTCCAGCTGTCCTTCAAGTCTCATTTTTTCTTTAAGAACCTGCAACATTTCATCCTGTGCTTCAGCAAGGGAGCTCTCCATGGACACACTGAGGACAGAGGCACAAGGTCAAGAGATGGGATCATGCCAAGGATCCTTCTTTTAACACTTCACTCTGTTCCCCAATTCCACAAGCCCTGCTGTTCTCCCCCAAATTTTTAAAAATAAATAAGTAGACTTCAGTAATGAGCTGAGCTCAGACAGAGTGGCCTCCCATAGGGGGCCTTTCCAGCAATTGCCACTGGAGCAGGCTCTGGAAGTATGAGCTTCATGAACATAAGTGTAGACACAGAGACAGGGCTACAAACACTGGAAGACAGTATGTGCCAATAACTCAAGCAGTTGCTGATTGGATCTGGGTCCTTTTTTTTTTTCTTGGTACTGGGGATCAAACTCGGGACCTTGCACTTGCAAGGCAGGCACAGTGCCACTGAGCTAAATCCCTAGCCCTAGATCTGATTCTACTTTCAAAGCACAGAGCTGTAAATGAAACGCTTTTGTGAACACTACAGGTGGTGTTAAGAAAGGAACACTGTGCCTGGCAATGGTCTGAGAGCAGTGCAGGAGGCTGAGCCACTGCCCACCTGCTGCAGATACTGTCTCTGCGGCTCTGCACCTCCCCGTTGACCTCCTGCCCCTGGTCTTGGTACTCTGCTGCCGAGGCCTGGAGGATATCCTTAATTGAAGGGAAATGGCCCAGGGTCTCTGTGGCAATCTCCTGGCCATTAACCATGTAGGCAGCTCCCTGTGTGACCATCATGTTCCCCAGGACACTGCAGGTTCCGCGGGTGGAGAGGCTGCTGTGTGAGGAGCTGTCACTCTCGTTTCCGTCGGCCTCTGACACACTGTCCCCAGTCAATGAGGCATTCTCAAGACGGCCATCAGTCTCGGGGGACAGGCTGACCTCAGACACCACTGAGGTGCTGCCCCTGCTCTGCTTCAGGGAGCTCCCAATACAGTCAGCAGCAGGAGCAAGGCCACCGGAACCACTTCCATCTTCAGTTCTATAATCAGCCAGAGACCGGATTTTGCTTGATCTGGAACTCTTTTTCTCCTTGGCATGTGTCAGCAGCCCTAAGCTGCCCACCTTGGGCCCCCGAGGGACGCTGGTGCGCAGGAAGGAGTACTCTTTGGTCATAGCTACAGTACTGGCCCTTGGCAAGTTTTCTGGGTGCAACATGAGCTCAGGATCAAGAGTGCTGAAGAGTCTCATTTTTGTTGAAGGTTGGCTGGACTGAGAAGGAAAACAAAAGCACAAAAATATGTTAAAATTTGCAAGCAGCATTCTAAAATTGTCACCCAGAGAGCCCGCACAACTAACATCTCTTGGCATGATGAACAGGCTTCCAGGAGCCCGGCAGGCACCCAGGCCCACTAATTCTCAAGCTCTCATGCTCCAGCAGGGCCTTGAGGCCACCTGGCCTGAAGCACACCTCTAAGAAGCGGCTTTTGGCACACTGCAACACCAGTTTTAGAGAAAGCCCCTCATACCACACTTCCTCCATGGAACTTCCCTGCCTCTTCGCCTATGTTTCCTCGTTCAGGTACTTTTTTTTTTTTTTTTTTTTCTGGTACCAAGGATCAAACTCAGGTCCTTCCACTTGCGAGGCAGGAGGCAGAACCACTGAGCTAAATCCCCGGCCCAAGTACTTTTTGAATTAAACAAACAAACAAACAAACTTTTACCTATAACTACTTTAAACCTAAAAATCACTCAGGAATTGAGGATTGTTTCTTTTTTTTCTTTTTGGTACCAGAGATCGAACTTGGGACCTTGAGCTTTCAAGGCAGGCAGCGGAACCACTGAGCTAAATCCTCGGCCCTTAAGGATTGTTTCTTTACCTAGAGTCGAAGCCCTTTTTAAATTGCCATTTTAATTTAATTTTCAGATTTTTTTATCACTTTACTTGTTATTCTAAATGCTATCTTTAGGGCCGGGGATTTAGCCCAGTGACATCACTCCTGCCTCGCAAGCACAAGGTCCTGAGGTCGACCCTCAGTACCAAAAAAAAAAAAAAAAAATGCAAGGGATGGAAATACTGACAAAGAGGAGAGATGCTATAGTTATTCCTAGGTGCTGATAATACCATGAAAAACTCCAAGAGTCAACTGAAAACAATTAGTCAGTTTATTAGATCAAATATGAAAGATTAGTAGTTACCCTGCTATGATCAATCAAGAAATGAGTGGAAATAGGTACCATTTATGTTTTTTTGGTTTTTTCGATACCAGGGATCAAAGTCAGGAACTTGTCCTTGCAAAGCAGGCGTGGTGCCAATGAGCTAAACCCCCGGCCCATCTATCTCTTACTTTTTAATCTTGCATTACTATGTCAGTTATAACTTGCAAAGTGGCCTTGCTTGAGGTCAGGAGTATAGGAAAGACTCCTTTCCTTTTGTTATGTCAGCACAATTTTCCCTTGTGGAGAAATACTCAATCCTGTTACTCTACAAAATCAATGTAATCCCTGGGCTGGGGTAAACAGGGAAGGTTAAGAAACCTCATAAATGACATGGGACACAGCTGGATGTAGAAATGAGCAAGAGTGAGGATATAAGAAAAAGGAAAGACATCCCTTGTTCCTGGGTAGGAAGAACCAATATAGTGAAAATGGTCATACTTCCAAAACTACTATATAGATTCAATGCAATGTCAATTGAAATTCCAACAATATGCTTCACAGAACTAGAGAAAACAATCCAAAAATTCATTTGGAACCAGAAGAGACCTAGAATAGCAAAAGCAATTCTAGGCAACAGACATGGCTGGGGGTATCACAACCCCCAACTTGAAACTATACTACAAAGTTACTGTGATAAAAACAGCATGGTACTGGCAAAGAAACAGACCCGAGGATCAGTGGAATAGATTAGAAGATGCAGAAACAACTCCAGACATACTCAGCCACCTCATCTTTGACAAAGGAGCCAACCACCATCATTGGAGGAAAGATAGTCTCTTTAATAAATGGTGCTGGAAAAACTGGATTTCAACCTGCCAAAGATTAAAACTAGACCCATACCTATCACCGTGCACTAAACTAAGATCGAAGTGGATTAAAGATCTAAATATTAAGACAGAAACGCTAAACTTGCTGGAAGATAAGTTAGGTAGAACTCTTGAAGACACTGGCATAGGAAAAGACTTCATGAACAAAACCTCAGCAGCACGGGAACTAGCAGAAAGAATCAACAACTGAGGTCTCATCTTATTAAAAAGCTTCTGCACTGCAAGAGAAGAGCTAAGAGACAACCTACAATGTGGGAAGAAATTTTTAGGAGCTGTACTTCAGACAAAGGTCTACTATCAAGAATATATAAAGAATTGAAAAAAATCAGACCCCCCCCAAATTCAAAGACCCAATTCAAAAATGGGCATCCGAAATGAACAGACATTTCTCAGACAAAGAAGTAAAAGCAGCAAATAAATATATGAATAAATGTTCAACATCACTGGTCATTCGAGAGATGCAGATGAAAACAACACTGAGATTCCACCTCACCCCACAAAGAATGGCTGGTATCAAGAAATCAACCAATAACAAATGCTGGCAGGGGTGTGGAGAGAAAGGAACCCTTCTCCATTGTTGGTGGGAGTGCAGACTGGTGAAACCACTGTGGAAATCAGTATGGAGATACCTCAAAGAACTAGGACTAGAGGTCCCCTTTGACCCAGCTATTCCCCTCCTGGGTATCTTCCCCAAAGAATTAAAAGAATCATACCACAGCGATATATGCGCACCCATGTTTATAGCAGCACAGTTTGTAATAGCTAAGGTTTGGAAACAGCCCATCAACTGGAAACTGGATAAAGAAGGTGTGTTTCTTTTTTATAAAATGGAGTACTACTCAGCCATAAAGAATGAGAAACTAGAGTCATTTATAGCTAAATGCATGCATATTGAGGCCATACTCTTAAGTGAAATAAATAGGACACACATGTGTAAATACTGAATAGTTTCTCTAGTGTAAGAAACGGAAAGTGTAAATGAGGATTACAATGATTAAAATGAATAATTGATAATCTGAAATAGGAAAAGGTCCAAAAGTGTAGTGGTGGTGGGAGAGGAAGGGGAAAGGGAAGAAGGGAAAGGAAAAATTATGAGAAAAGAAAAAAAAAATGGAAACGAAGTCTGTGTAAACAGGGAAGGGTGGAGGGCGTGAAGAGCACACAGGTAATGGGGAAAAAATAAGAACCAAGATGCATCATGTACAGGTACAAGCACCCAGTGATAAATGTAAATGTATTGTATACCTAAAATGTACCAATGAAAGAATTTAGAAAAAAAAGAAATGAGCAAGAGCAGCTGGAAAACAACAGGAAGGGCGGGAGTAGGTGAAGGGGAGACGCAACCATCCAAGCATGGACAGAGTCTATTGTGGGCAGTAACACTGTTCCAGGGAAAACACTGTCAACACACATCAAGAAGGGATTGTTTCCTGGCATATATGCAACTACACAGCCAAGGCACCCATGCACACAGGACAAAGACTCTGCACCCCAAACATGGGCCAAGGGGCCGCTGATTGAGGCCACTTCACCCTGAGTTTCATCATGGCGGAGGTGGAGAGGGGGATGGAGAACTACCTGAGAGGGTTAACTTTTTTGTTGTTCTTTTTTTGGTACCGGGGATCGAACTTGGGACTTGGTGCTTGCGTGGCAGACGCCAGAACCACTGAGCTAAACCCCCGGCCCTTAGAGAGGGTTAACTTTGAGATAGATGCGGCCTCCTAGGCTTCTCAGTGCTGCCTCTGGCCTTCCCAGAGGGCCTCTAGGGCAGGGGTAGCTGGTAGGGGGAGTATCTGGCCTCTTCCAATCTTTCTGCCCTAGCCCTTGGATGTGGAGTGGCTGAGAAGCAGGTAATGAGCTGGTCACACAGAATTGTCCTGTCAGGAACTAAGGAAGTGCCCTCCTATTTGAACTATTAGATATCATTTTTTATCTTTTATTATTAGATACATAGCTCTTCAAGATTTGGACTCTTACACTGAATGACTGACACCTTCCTCAATGGAAGGAGGCGCCTCCAAGGAGACCCAGGAACTGCTGTGGAGCCTCTGCCTCATCACTGCCAAGGGAGAACCCCTAAGCCGAGTTTCAGTCTTCTCTTCCCAAATGTCAGCTCTTTCACCTGATGGCTGTGACATTTGTATCGCAGTTTGCAGGGAATTTAACACAACACCCAATGGTTAGCACTTGCTGGTTCTTTGCCTCACTCACTATGACTATTTCTGGCAGGCCACCTAGAGAGGCTACCAAGCTCACCCCTGGCCAGGTGTGAGGCCCCATCTACTGGGCCTGGGGACCACTTCTCCCCAGACCAGAAATGCTGTTCCAGCAGCACTTCCTCTTGGGAGAATGTCAGCTAACCCTGATGGAAACCATATGCAATCAAATTACCCACCGGAAGCCTCTTACGTCAGTTTAATTTTAAATGACTTCATTTGAAGATGTTCAAACACACAGAAAAATTAGAAGAACTATGAAAGAAACATTCATACACCTTTTGCCTAGTCGCTCAATATAATTTAAAAAACCACTTTAACTATGATCTCTGTGAGTTTACACTCGAGTAACACTGATATTAGCACACTAAGTGGTCACATTGTTCCAACAATGTGGAACAAGAGCAAAGCTCCTTTCCACCCATGAAATAAACAGCAACCTCAGCTGGTGGCTCACCACAGAACAAGAAGGCCTGTGGGTGTCCACTCCTCAGCTTCAGGCGGCAAGTCCAGGAAAACCACAGGCTCCCAGCCTCTCTGCAGCCCGGAGTGGCTCTGCCTGACCACCTTCCACTTGAGGCCTGCTCTGGCTCGGCAGGCGGACTCACCCGTTCCTGCTGGCGCTTCACGCGGTACTGCCGGAGCTGCTCTTCTAGGCGCTTCCGGGCCTGGAGTCGGACCTGTTCCTCCTTCTCCAGGGGCAGGGAAGGCGCTGTGGAGCCTGAAGGGAGAAATGGCATCAAGAGACTCATAAAGGAGCAGGGTGCAGAGAACAACTAGTACTGTACCTACTGCTTGGCTCTTTTCATTTAATTACCAGTACGCATTTACTCCTAAGCAATGGACAACCATCCAGTGTCTGAGTGATTTCCAGACTGGGAGAAAACAGCCTGGGCCACAAACCAGAAAGGATCCACCTCAAAGGAGACACAACGGTAAGTGCTGGGTCTCTGTTCATCTCACAGATCGACTAAGTGTGACAGGATTTTAACTGGTAAAATGGGAGGCAGGTGACAAGGACCTTTAGGCGACAAAAAGAACTGAATTTAAAGTTGCTACTGGGGCTATGTGCTCAGTGATCACAGGTATCACATCGAAAAGCTGGAAGGCCAGGCCCCTCCAGCTCTCATGGACATGACTCTGCTCTGCCACAGAGGCCGCACTCGATAAGTGGAGCCCAGAGTAAATGTGGTCAGGCTGGTTGCACTCAATGATGCCTGTGGACATCACTGATCACCTCATGATCAGCGGCAACAATGCAGATGTTTTATGCAGGTACATGTGGAGACACAATTCTTTTGTTGTTTTGTCTTCTGAGGCAGGGTCTCCCTTTGTAGTTCAGGCTGGCCCTGAACTCACTATGTACCCCAGGCAGGCCTCAAACTCTTGGCGATCCTCCTGCCTCAGCCTCCAGAGTGCTGGAATTACAAGTGTGAGCCACTGTGCCTAGTTTGGAAATACAATTTGATCCACAGCTTATCTTTCACTTCTTTCTTTCTTTTTTTTTTTTTTTTTTTAGTATGGGGATCAAGCTCAGGACCTTGCACTTGCAAGGCAGGTGATGGCACCACTGAGCTAAATCCCCAGCCCCTTTCATTTCTTTCAGTGATGAGCCACGTTAAAAGGTTTTATAAAATCAAGAATTCTGAGGGCTGGGGATTTAGCTCAATGGTTCCACTGCCTGCCTCACAAGCACAAGGTTCTGAGTTCGATACTCGGTACCAAAAAAACAAGAATAATTCTCAAACAAGGTGGCAGCACTCAAACATTATCTATGTAAGGAATGAAACCACTGCCTGGTCTGTGTTCAGGACTCACTGCAGAGCAGAGACTCAGCAGGTATCTGCCTGTGAGGGATGGGGCTGGCGATGTCTCCTTCCTCACAGGTGAGACTCCAATCCAGAGGTCCTGCCCAAGGATAGGACCGTGGAAAGACAATGTTTTAGCTAAAGACAGAATTTAAAATATTTAAAACCAATGGGCTGGGGATGCAGCTCAGTGGCAGAATGCTTGCCTACCCATGTGTAATGCCCTGGGTCTGACCTCCAGCACCAAAAGAGAAGAAGGAGAAGAAGAAGATGAAGATGAAGAAAAAAGAAGCAGCAGCCACAGAAGCAGCAGGAGCAGCGAAAGGGGCAGCGGCAGAGGCAGAGGCAGAAGAAGAAAAGTCACTTGTGAGAAAATATTTAAGACCAGACCTTTTTATTCTGGGTAATGAAAGGGTTAAACAGTGATCACAGTGGAACTGCAGCTGCAAATTATCTTTCACTTCTTGCAGTGATGAGTCATGTTATAAGGTTTTGTAAAATCAAGAGTTGTCAAACAAGCTGGCAGTATGCAGACATTATTTATGTAAGGAATGAAACCAGGAAAGCCAACTCTTCCAGGGCTGGATCTGTGGACTTACTCTTTGTGAACATCAGCAGATGGCCTAGATGTTACCAAAGTGCATAAATGCAATAACTTTGTATATGTGGCACCCTCCCTGGGCAATTACCAAGTTCACTAGGAATCTGCCACTGTTGTTAGTACTCTGTGGACTTCATCTCTGGAGAGATCTCAGTACCTTTCACATGGCTGTGTGCAGATGGCCAGGCCATCAAAGTGGCAAACTTGGGGGCAATGGCCATCAGGCAGGAGCCACAAATCAGCAAAGTGGGCTGGGCTTAGAGTGACTCACACTGAAGCTTAACGACCAGCTGCATGGACAGAGCTCAGAGCCAGGTGGCAGCAGGAGCCAACTGTGTGGTGCCCCGCATCCCTCAGAAGGCGTAACCCCCAGAGCAGGGAACGTGCTCCTGGAGCTGCTGCTATGTGGGCACCTGGGCCGAGCTCACAGGTCAGTGAGCAAAAGCCCAGACTTTCAGTGCATCTCTTGACCTGAGGGTTGGCAGCTCATTTTCAAAAATGTTAAAGCACAAGGCAGCGCTGACAAAGTAATGGCTGTGAAGGAAAAGGCAAATAATCCAAAGGGAAAGTGGGCCAAACAGGAAGACAATTCACAGAAAAAAATATACAAGAGGGCCAGGGACTTAGCTCAGTGGTGCTGGCACCTGCCTTGAAAGCACAGGGTCCTGAGTTCGATCCCCATACCAAAAAAAGAAAAAATACAAAAGTGACCAACAGATAAAAATATGCTCAGATCCTCTGGTAACTAAAATAGCAGCGAGCATCAAAGCACAATCACCAACAGACATGGTGGTATACACCTATAGTTCCAACTACTCAGGAGGCTGATGCAGGAGGATGGCTTGAGTCCATGAGTTTGAGGTCAACCTGGGTAAGACAGTAAGATTTTGTCTCAAAAATAAACAAAAACCAAAGAAACAGTGTTTCCATGCCGGAAGGGTTAGGAGACAGTGTCCTCAAAGGCCTGCACTAGTGGGATGGCAACACAGCTGTGCGGACTGTACAAAACACGTGCAAGGTCCACAGAGAAGGAAGCCCAGAGGCCTGCACACACGGATTCTGGCCATGGACCGGAAACACAGCAGGCAGGAGCCACTGCGGGGAGGGCTAGCACTGCCATACTGGCCCACAGAGGGCAAAACAACCAGCAGCAGCGAGCCACATGTATGGAACTCAGCCAGTGGGAAACCCGCAATCGCAGGAACAACATACTCCCACTTACCAAAACAACCCAAACCCTCCATTCGCTTAAAGAAGTCTGCAAAGGTCTTGTGCAGACGTGGCTTGAAGGAGGGCAGGAATGAGGTTACAAAGGGGGATGAGGGAATATAATTCCATTAGGTAAAACCATGCTATTAAAAACAAGGCTCAGGGCTAGGTGTGGGAACAAAAACCTGTAATCTCAGCACTCTGGGAGGCTGAGGCAGGAGGACTGCAAGTATGAGGCCAGCCTTGAAACTATGCAATTTAGCAAGGCTCTATCTTTGAAAATACAGAAAAGGCCAGGGATGTGGTTCAGCGTGAGGCCCTGGCCCAACCCTCAGCACCTGTCCGCCACACACACACACACACACACACACACACACAGGGCTGGGTGGGTAGCTCAGCGCTCTCTGGGTTCAAATCCCCAGGGTGACGAAAACAAAACAGAAACACAAAAACCAACCCACCACCCGAGGCTCAGAACAATGTCTAGGGGTTTCCAGGGCTCACAGGCTGTAAGTGTGGGGCCTGTTCATCTCTGGCCCCTCAGACATCAGCACAAAAATAAACGCTTCTCCACAAGGATGCTGTCTGTTGGCTCCTTAATCAGGGACCCTGGCACCAAGGCCAGTACTAGACCACAGGGGAGGCCCGACCCCACATGCACCTCCACTCTAAACAGAGCTGTCTCACCAGATGCACCCTCCATCACCCCACCCCCACGATGGGTAGCACAGGGGAAGTTCCTGAGGGTCACTCCAGGGGGTGAGCAGAGGACAGGCACAGGTGGGTTGGGAAGAGTTGGTGGCACAGATGCTTACACAGTTGCGTTTCTTGCATGGGAAGACTGAGTCTGAGAGACTGCAAAGCTTCTTTTCTAACACTGCCCTCAGCACTAGTTCCCTGGGACTTCCTTAGGTTGTCATGGAAACCAGCCACACCTGGAGAGGCATCAGGACCCACTGGGCTTGTGGTGGGATCGAGAGATACTGGCGAGTCTGGGAACTTCGGCATGGACCCATTCTGGCAGAGCGGCCCCTGGCCAGCTGTGTCCAGGCATCCTACTTCCTCAGAAGCTCTGTTTACCTCAACACTGGCACCTGCAGAGAGAAAGCCTGTTGGATCACCGTGTCTTCAACACAAGCCATTTTCAGACATGTAGCAATATAGGCCAGAGAGAATCCAGACCCATGGTTCTGAGTGGCAGGGAGACCTGGGCAAGTTCATGCCTCACTGGAACTCCACAACCTCACCTATAAAGTGGCCTCATCCTCCAGAGGATAGCTGGAGAATGCATCATGTTTCCTTTTGGTTTAAATGAAAACACTAGGGCCAGTCTGATCCTCTTCATCAGCACCTGCCCCCTCTAGCTACTCAAGCAGAAGTCTTTCCTATCTTCTTCCCAAAAAGCCTTTCTTTCTTTTTTTGGTGTGTGAGGGGGCATTTAGGAGAGGGTCTTGCTCGGCAGTTCAGGCTGGTCTTGAACTCACTATGTAGTCCAAACTGGCCTTGAACTTGAGGCGTTTCTCCTGCATCAGCCTGCGGAGTGCTGGGATTACAGGCATGCGCAACCACAGCCACCTAATTAAAGCCTTTTCTATAAAGTCATACTTTAGTTTTAATTCCATTATGACTAAAGCAAGGAGCCATACTAGCCAGCAGCTTCTGGCATCCAACACAGGGATGTTCTGGCCTACAACAGGATTCTCCAGACTCTGAAACTGATGGAGTGCTCACAATATTGGGCACTGGACAGACAAGACACCAAGATGAGGGACTCAGAGGGATATTCAACTGTGTCCAGAGTCTCCCGCCATTATCCTCATCCTATGGTCAGCTGTATTCCAAGAAAAGCAAAGCCCCGTATATCTGAAACCACCACAGAGACAATCCTTCCATGGCGACAGAACCACCTTACAGCAAGGATTCCTCCTATGGGAACTGAATTGCCTCTCAAGTCACAAGGACTCAACCTGATCTATGAAAGTAGAACTAAGATAATAATTGACAGGACCCTGGCCCATCTCAGCTAACCCTATAAACCAGCCCCTGCCTCTGCAAGTGGACCAGGCTGATCCCCTGCATAGGATTTGTCCCTTTCAACTACTGAAGCTGGAGTCTTCTCTCTCACTTTCCAATTAAAGCTTTTTCTGCAGGAAAAAAAGAAAGAAAAGAAAAAAAGGACAGTAAAAAATCTTATGAAAGTCTGTTTTTAAAAAGTAGGAAAAGAAGCTGGGTATAGTGGCACATGCCTGTAATCCCAGCACTCAGGAGGCTGAAGCAGGAAGATCTTGAATTTAATTTAAGGCCAGTCTGGACTACACAGCAAGATCCTGTCTCAAAAAACAAAGGGAGGTGTGGTGGCACAGGCTTTAATCTCAGCATTCAGGAAGGTGAGGCAGGAGGATCAAACTTTCAAGGTCACTCTGGGCTACACAGCAAGACCCTATCTCAAACAAAACAACAAACATGGAGAAAATAAAGCTGAAAAACAAAACTGACAATCTTTCTAGCAGGTACTGGTAAAAGCAGGGCTAAACAGAGGGATAGCTCCCATCTTTAGGGACTGGTTCCAAAGTCAATTTGAAGCATATGTTTATCCTCCAAAGCAAGACTCCTAAGAGATGGACAGCTGGATCACGGTGACTGTGAAGATGAACACAGAGCCCAGAATCTACACACTCTGAATGAACAAAAAGCTTACTTCCTCTCCAAAGCACCAGCGGATCACACCTTTCTGCTCAGAGGCAAATGCCAGCAACACAGAGTAAAGTGGCAACTTACACTGGGCTTTGTCCAGCTGGGGAGTCAGGAGGGCCTCGGGGCAAGCTGAGGTGTCGCTGCTGGGTCTGTCCTCCAAGAGGCCATCATCTTCAGCCGACATGCCGTCCATGGTCAGGTGGGCCTGGGCTGAGCAGACACTGAAGGGCTACAAGTGACCCCGGGACGAGCACAGTTCCTGCCATCAGCAACAGCCCAGAGCTCTTGGGAAGGACCTCACTCTGTGTTCCATTTCCAGAGCAAAGTTTAAAGTCTCACACATGGCTTGCAGTCAAACCTACCAATATCACGATACCTGATAGGAGACAAAAAGAAAAACAACTATAAAACTTCATTTGTTAGATTTCAAGTTACAATTACCAAATTAACATTTACTTCCCAATTTTCATTTGGAAACCAACACAGATTTGTTCATTCAAAAAACAAGTCCTGAGCACTTACAATGTTTGTTCTGAGGATAAAGTGCTGAACCAGTCACACCTGGGCCTTTCATGAAGGCATACATCTGTACTGGTGCTAGCTAAAGGCAGTTCTACCAGAGCCAGGGATTTGGCTCAGTAGTTTCGACGCCTGCCTCACAAGCACAAGGTCCCCAGTTCGATCCATGATACTAAAAAAAAAAAAAGAAAGTTCTACCAAGCCAGGCGTGGTGGCACATGCCTGTAATCCCAGCCTTCTGGAAGGTGAGGCAGGAGGATTCTAAATTCAAGCCCAGTGTGGGAATGTTAGTGATTTAGCAAGATCCTGTCTCAAAACAAAAATGAGCTGGGCAAGGTGCTGCATGCGTCGAATCCTAGCACCAGGGAGGCTGAGACAGGAGAATCCTCATGGATTCAAGACCAGCATAGGTTACATAGTAATTCCAAAGCCAGCCTGAACTAATAGCAAGACCCTGTATTGATAAACAAACAAACTCTTTTGACTCATCCTGCTGAGCTAATTTTTTTTTTCCAGTACCAGAGGGATAGAACTCAGGACCTTGCACTTTCAAGGCAGGCGCAGTGCCACTGAGCTAAATCCCCAGCCCTTGAGTCACATTTAAGGAAGTAAAATTTCATCTTAAATTTGGCAACTGGTTATCAACTCAGAGGTGTACTGATGGTATCAACTCACTTCCTTAGCAACAGAAAAGATACTCTGTGAACTTCTAGGCATTCTGCAGAAATGCTGGCATTCCTGACTGTAGAACAAATTTCATGTTACCCTATGCCCTGTTCTGTTTTTGGTATGTTTCATGACAAGACCTTATGTAAACTTCTTCCCTAGTGTAGGGCTCCCATGACGACATTACAGACAAGCAGACCAAGCGGGTGCTCCTCACTAGGGGCCGCGATGCTGACTCAGTGCAGCTGGGCTGACAGCGTGTTCGGTGGCCCACACACTCTGAGTCCCTCTGTCCTCTACCACCTGTCACCCAAGAAAGAGGGCAGCCACTACTGATGAGCACGACCCAGCCTACAGACGCAGTCCACATTCAGCACAGAAATGACCCTCTGTTCAGACCTATGAATATTTGCTCACAAACTGTAGTAATTATTCCTCTCTGCTGGTCTGCACCCTACAGGCTAGAGACACTGAGTTAATAACAGCACTACTAAGACCATAAAAAAGGTTATACATCAAAGACGGCAGACCTTTCAGAGCTTTCAGTGATAACAAACAGCCGCTAAGGCACGTGTGCCATAGGTTTGCCACCACTGTTATATATGCTATTGGTGTGGAATTAGCATTAAGGGGTTGAAACTAGAAAGTACTGGGGATAAGAATGTATGAAGGGCCGGGGATTTAGCTCAGTGGTTTTGCCGCCTGCTGCGCAAGAGCAAGGACCCAAGTTTGATCCCCGGTACCAAAAAAAACAACAACAAGAAGAATGTATGAAAACATCAGAAAATGCAAATCCACTGTGGCTAATAAAGCACAATACCATAAACAACAGGATCTGGGAGTGAGTCTGTCTGACTCATGGTGCCTAGCACATGTAAATATTTGAAACTAATACAATGCCTGAGTCAAAGGAATGAGGGAGATTACTAAAATTGGACAAAAAGCAATCCTGTGTGCAATGAGTTTTCAATCTCACCTTGTCTCTACAATCATCAGTGACATCTTTCATCCCTGGAAAGATTTTTCCATCTATGTGGACAGATCAACAGGCCCCTGGAGCCTGGTAAGGGATCTGAGCTACACATTTGTCCTTACGCATCCCACAGACTCCTCTGAAAATCATGACTTCACAAGATCCCACCTCTGTGGAAAGTCACTGTCACAACCATCAAGCCTGTTCCTCAGTTCCAGTTCTAGACACTTCCAAGGAATAGCTGGTGGTAAGCCAGCCTCGCCAGGATGTGAGGCTGTGAAGACACCCACAAAGCAAGGTGAGCAAAACCAGCAAGATGAGGCCCAAGGTGGTCCCTTCATCACAGGCTCACCACTCCAAGGACAGATGAAACAGATGTGCAGGAAGAAATCTGAGGACTGTAGAATCCACTGGGTCGCTAAAATACAGGTACACCATATTATGGTCATCCTGAAAAATTTCTTAGCAAGAGAAAAACCTTTACAGTTTGCTTTGAAATGTCTTTGCCTCTGTCTGGTGGGGATGATGATATCTATCTAATCATCACGTGTTCGTCCAATGACCACATCCCCACTATTCGTCAGACAAAAGCTGTGGTGACAGAAAGCCAGCCCCATGGCCGAGAATGAAAGTTCCTTACCATCTTTCTACATCCACATCAGGCACTGCCTCTGCAGTCTCTCCTGGCCCCTCAGGTAAAATGCCAGCTCTACTCTCTGCTATCACTATTGATGCTGTTGCACGCGCCTCAGTCACAGTGCTCACAGTGCAATGCTGCCCATCTATCCCACAACACTGTCAGGCCTTGAAGGCTGAACTCCTCATTCCAAGTCTCCCTCTTAATCACCTCAAAACTCACCCCACTCATGGTGGCATCCAACACAGGTTACTAAGTTAATCTTTGCCTCTGCCAAGTTCTATCCCTCTACAGCTAAGCTAACAGTTCCAAAACAAAATGATGAAGTATCAGAGCCTTGAGCATCAATACTGCCTTTGCAAGTGCAGAAAAAGGGTCAGGGATGTATCTTAGTGGTGCCGTGCCTGCCTGGCAAGCACAAAATCCTGAGTTTGATTCCCAGTACAAAAAAAAAAGGAAAAGAAAAAAGAAAAATCAAGTGCAGAAAAACTCTTATCTATTCCTACTAAAATTATCTGGGAGCCTAGACATGGTGGCATGCATCTGTGATTTCTCAACACTCTGAGCGGCTGAGACAGGAAAATTGCAAGTTGAAGCCCAGTCTGGGCAACTTATCAAGACCCTGTCTCAAATTTTTTAAAACGAGCTGGGGATGTAGCTCAGCGAGAAGGTCCTGGGTTCAATCTCCAGTACAGGTGGTGGTAGTGGCGAAACCTGGGGGTGTAGTTCAAATGAAGGACAAAGAATGGCTCTGGGAGTTACAAAATTGAAGACCAAAGCACAAGGGCCATGGCTTAGAGATGCAATGTCATCTAGTGATGAGGAGCAGGACACTAGAGCACCATATGTATAAAGACAAATATGCAGAAGAGGGAAGCCAGGAGTCCCAGAGAGAATGTGCCTGAGAGGCAAAGTGACAATACCCACATCTAACACTGTCCAGGAAAGAACACTAGCTGAGAATGTTCAAGTTCCACTGATGATGACAAATATGACAACAAATGCATCAGGCTGTGGGAGCCTGAGACTATCACATCACTCTTAATTCCCCTTATTCTGATTTCTTGCTGAATAAGACACTTCGTGATTCCTAAGCAATGCTACCTCCTTCTAGAGATGGGGTGGTGCTGCCCTCCAGAATGCAGGACCCTGAGAATGTGACATTCTGGTAATTCATGAAGACAGCTCCTGGTCACATGTAGGTCCTCCGGAAGCTGAACAGACAACTCCCTGACAGTGCAGGAATGGCCTGTGGCAATGGTCCTCCTCCCTGAAGGGCAATAAACTGGCATTCTCTGTCTATCCTCAGACTCCCCTAAATTTTAGTTAGCATGACTCAGTCCTTCAAGGCCTCATTACCTCAGACCGCTGACAAAGGCAAATCTCTGGGCAACAAGGTGGAAGACCACAGTTGGGGGTGTGTCATGAGGAAGCTGTTATTATTAACATGCACTCTCCATTTTATGACTGTTTTTCTAAAAAGGAGTTTTCATTATGATATCACTTTTGACCACTTGCATTCCCATGCCCCTTAAACACCAGATACAGGGCAAAGCTATCACCAAGCACTTCACAAGGTACACAACTCTAGGTTCACCCCTGCCTGATATTAAGAGACTTCTTATTGAGAAGCCATTGTCTCAGGCATCTACAGGGCTTCCAGCTTGTACCACAGCAGAGCCCTTGCATTAGATAAACACATACAACAGCTGCTTCTTGAAGCTGTTCCTATTGGTAGTTAGAAATAAACCATAGTCTAAGACAAAACATGCTTTCCCAAAGATGATTATGTCTGTTTGAGACCACACTAGTAACCAATAGCAAACAAGACCATATACATGTGAAAACCAAAGGCCAACCTCAGGTCACTGTACAGCTGAGATATAAAGGATAGGTTCAGAAGTGGACAAGTCTGCCTCAAATCCTGACTCCTCTACCACTAGTCTGAGATCTTGGGGCAAATTTCTGAACCACTATTAGTCTGTTTCTTCATCAATAAAACAATGAAAAAGTGAATACAAATTATTGCCAGGACTGAATGTAATAAAGTATGGGGTCTAGCTGGGCATGGTGGCACACATCTGTAATGCCAACACTCTGGAAGGGTGAGGCAATTTTGAGCCCAGTCTGGGCAATTTAGTAACTAAGCAAGACCTTGTCTTAAAAAAATAAAAAAAGGGGGATGTAGCTCAGGGGAAAGGCCCTTGGTTCAATCCTCAGTTCAGGAAAAAAAAAAAAAAAAGGAAAGAAGGTATGGTATGTTCTATGCCTTCAATAGGCGGATTCAATTATTAGTACTATTATTTTCAATTGCTGCTTATCAAAATTGCTAATTGAATACAGTCTCACTTGAGAAAGTACACTAAGGGCTGGGGATTTAGCTCAGTGGCACCACACCTGCCTCATAAGGGCAAGATTATGAGCTGCATCCTTGGTACAACAAAAAAAGCCCCAAACAAACCAAAAACAACAACAAAGGAAAGTACACTACCTTTTTTTTTTTTGTACTGAGACCGGACCTAGAGACTTGTGTATGTTATGCAACCACTCTATTACTTGGCTACATGCAGTCCTTTGAAATTGAATTTTCTCTTGAGACAGGATCTCACTAAGTTCCCTAGGTTGTTCTCAGTCTACCTAGGCTGATCCACCTGCCTCAGCCTACTGTGTAGCCAGGATTATAGGTATGAACCACATCTGGTGAGAAAATACACTATTTCTTAAAGCAAATGGCAAAAAACCCCAGATACTTTTGAATCTGAGTAATATCAGATGATTTTCATTTCCCTTTGCCATTCACAGTATACTGTAACTGAAAGCTATTAAAGGGCTATAAAGACAAAGGCCTTGAGGAACCTGTAAATAAATGACAATGTCCGACTGACAATAAAATACAAACTTCTCATTATGAACTGTGAAGCTACATCCCACCTGCACCGTCACCCCAAATGCTTTCCTCCTTTTTTCTTTATACCTTGACTACATTCTGTGCCTAAAAACAATGAACTTGCTCTCCACAGGATCTCCACGCTTCCTGTACATTCTGCCTGAAACACTGGCAATTTCACACAGCAGCTTCTTGCCATGAAGACCTTGGCTTAACATGGGCCGGGAGATTTAGCTCAGCGGTTTCGCTCCCTGCTGCGCAAGCGCAAGGACCCGAGTTCGATCCCCGGTACCAAAAAAAAAAGTCACCTTTGCCACAGGACTTCCCTGCTACCCAAGTACCTGACCCTATCTGCCATCGAATTCCCTCAGTAATGGCCTTATTAGCTGTCTGTGTCCCTCCACTATAAGGTGCACTAGGTGAGGGCAGAGAGGACATCTCGTCACTGTATCACAAAACCTGCAGTGGACTGGGCTGTCACCCCTTGGGCACTCAATAGGCACTGTGTAAAGGTGAGCTGTCCACCCGGCCCTCGCCGCGACAGCGTCCGGCCCCATTCGCTCCGCGACACTGAACAGTGAAGCACCTCTGGGGACTCAGTCGAGTCCCTAAGTCCGCCGTGGACTAAGCAAACAAGGAAGCTCCCGCTACCATGTCACGTTTGCCATCTGCTGCAAAAGGACCAGACTTCAAACTCGCTAGTTCAGCGGCCGCGCTTCGGACAGACTGCACCCCACGGGCGCAGTCTCCGCGTTTACCGAGTCGGTTCTGAGACTGTCCGAGAGGCCGGCTGAGGCCGGAAGCCAGAGGAGGCGCGGTGAGAGACCAGCGCCGATCTCACGCGATTGGACCACCCCGGCGGCCCCGACCCCCAGCTCCCAACACGGGCCCCTATCCTGAGCCCACGACCGTCCCTTGACATAGGCCCCGACCCTATCCGGGCACGGTCCTTCAGCCCTCACTCCGTGAACCTCACCCGGCGGCTGCCCCGGTAGCCCCAGAGAGACGTGGCCGCGCCAGGGGCGGGGCGCGGCGGTGTAACGGCCTCGGGTCTCCGGAAACAACCTGGGCGCGTGGCCTCTGTTCCGGAACAGAAATTGTCTTCGTCTGCTCGCCAGAAACAGCCTTCGGCCCGGGCCGATATCGACCTCACCCAAGACAAGCCTAAGGCGGACTTCAGAAAGTGATTGTAAGTCTTTGTGGCCCTTTCCTTCGTAGAAACAATTTCCACGTTGACAGGACTAGCTCTGACAGGAAACAAGACAACTAAGCTTCCGGCGGAAGTGGCGTGGCCAAGGCTTCTGGCCCAGGCCACGCCCGACCCAGCTGACAGGTTGTGGGCGTGGCCCAACCCATCCTCCCCTCGTGGCGGGCGCGGCTCGCGCGCGTCAACACCGCCCCCCTTAACCCCGCCCCGCGCACTTTGAGGTTCTGGCTTGCTTCTTATGCGGACTCTGAACGCTGACTCTGCGTCCGCCCGGCGTCAGCCTGGAACCAAGGGCGGTGCCGTACTAAAGTAGGAGGATCGCTTGAGCCCCGGAGTTCAGATCCAAGCTGGGCGACACAGCGACACCCGTCTCAAAAAGTCCCAAACTGAGCCGAGCGTGGTGACACGCACCTGTAATCCCAGCAGTCGGGAGGCTGAGTAAGGAGGATTGCCTCGAGTTTGAGGCCAGTTTGGGCTACATAGTGAGTTCAAGGCCAGCCTGATCTACATAGCGAGACCCTGTCTCAAAAAACAAAACGAAACAAAAATCCGAAACTGGCAGGAGAATCACAAACTCATGTGGAGCTTGAGCAACTGTGACCCTATCTTAAAATGATGATGATAATAATGAGCTGAGTATGTAGCTCAGTGATAGAGTGCCCCTGGGTTCCATCCCCAGTACCAAAACAAAACAAAAAAGCCCAGCTTGTTGGCATAGCCCTGAAATTTCAGCATTTGGTAGGCTGAGGTGGGAGAATCTGAAGTTTGAAACCAGAGTGAGCAACATGGCAAGTTCAAGGCCAGCCTGGCTGTCTCAACCCCAAATAACCTCCTGGATGATACAGGAGGAGGCTGCAGAGCATGCAGCAGGTGCGCTGTAGGGTTGGCTATGCCACACCCCAAGCCCAGGTGCATTGTCCCCATCTCTGAATCCTTCCTGGGACCGCACTGGACCTCTGGTGGACCCATGGGGGGAGTGGCCGCCCAGCCCCCATGTTTAGGTCCCCTTTGATTCCTTCCAACATGCTGTATTTTTCAGGTATAGATTCAGTACTTGTTTGGAACAACTTCACATCTAAGCATTTCACTTTCTTTGGAGTAACTGTAAATGGCTTGTGCTTTTGACTTCATAGTTTCCACATGTTCGCTATTCAACCAGACATGGGACCGACCCAGTAAGCTGATCTTGTTCCCTGGAGACCCTACTGAGTTCACTTATTCATTCTAAGTTTGTTTTGTTCACTTTGGATTTCTTTTTTAATTCCTTGGAGTTTTCTACTTAAATTATTATGTAATGAAGGGCTGGGGATTTAGTTCAGTGGTGCTCCTGCCTGCCTCGCAAGGGCAAGGTCTTTTTTGTTGTTTTTTTGGTACCGGGGATCGAACTCATGTCCTTGCGCTTACGCAGCAGGCAGCGAAACCACTGAGCTAAATCCCTGGCCTGCAAGTGCAAGGTCTTGAGTTCAATCCCCAATACATATAAAAAAAATTATGTAGTGAACACATACAAAATGATCCAAGACTAAAGTGCAAACTGTATGACAAAACTTTAAGGAAGCAAAAAAAATGTAAGACCTGGAGCTTGAGAAGAGTTCTTGGACATGACTTGGAGAGCATAACCCATGGAAAAAAGAATAAACCGGATGCCATCAAAATTAAACTCTCTTGTCCAAGTGTGGTGGCACGCACCTGTCATCCCAGCACTTGGGAGGCTGAGGCAGGAGGATTGTCATGAGTTCGAGGCCAGCCTGGACTCCATAGTGAGTTCAAAACCAGCCTGGACTACATAGCAAGCCACTGTCTCAGACAAACAAACAAACAAACAAAACACTCTTGGTTCTGAGCAAGACCACACATTAAGAAAAGACAAGCCATGGACTGTGAGAAAATATTTTCAAAGAATATATTTAATAAACAAATATAACCTAGAACATATAAGCTGTCAAAACTCAACAGTCAAAAAACAGCCAGAATGCATGGCAAATAAGTTTGTAAGAAGAGCTTCAAGGTCACTAGCTATGATAGAAAAGCAAATTAAAACTACCTTGGGGGCTGGGATGTAGCTCAGGGTGAGCACTTGCCTAGCATGGGAGAGGCCCTGGGTTCAATCCCCAGGATAGGAAAAAAAAATAGTGGCAGCACCCAATGCTGACAATGATACACATAATTGTTCCTAGCAGCATTATTCATAATAGTCCCAAAGTGGACATAATCCAGATATCCTGTTAAATTCCAGCAGTAGGGGTGAGTGTTGATGAGACCATCACAGAGTGATGACTGGCAAAGGGCAGGGTTTTAAAGTGCTCCCACTCATTTGGGATTGTACTTTCTGTGGCCTACTGGTTGCCAGATGCTGTACAAAAAGGAATCCTAGCTCTTCAAAATAAAAGATAGATAAAACAGGGAGATATCGTAGACCTTTTGCAAATAGAGGAAGAAGAGATGGGAAGGGGTGTAAAAAGAATTAAGATGTGTACCAACTCCCCATGGTGAATGTAATCATTATGTAATGCAAACATACTGAAAAATTTTTTTAAATCTCTGCTCTCAAAAAAATAAGAACCAAGACAAATTATGTAAAGGTACAAATTTCCAATGATGAATATTATATTGTATACCTGAAATGTACCAATAAAATTTTTAAAAATCTACTCTCAAGGAACTTCCTTCCTAGTGGGGAACCAGTCAGCAAATACATGACCGGAATTGATGAGCTGAGGCAGAGGTGGCAGAGATGCGTAGGGAGGGACGCTGTGATTTTAGAGATGGGATTTTGAGGGTGGTTGGGAGACAACTAGAGCCAACCTCTAAGCAAAATTTGAAAACAAATCACACAGGTAACTGAGAATGGTGTTTCAGGAGAGCCAAGCACTCAAATTCCTCTGCAGAAGTAGATTGGAGCTGAGCGTGTATGAGGGGTAGCTGGGGAGGGAATATTTGGAGCAGTAGTAGGAGTGAAGCCAGCAGGTGGAGAGGGAACATCCCTGGGTGCTGCGCCACACACAGGGGGCAAGGGGAAGCAGCTTCAGCGACCACAGAGGTGGGGCTGGTTCGCGTCGCCACAGGGGCCCCTGAGGGAAGGAGAGGTCAGGGCCCCTACCGGGTTCTGACTCCAGCCTTGCTGAAGGCTTGCTATTTCCTGAGATGGCAGAGGCTGGGAAGTTGTGGTACATGTGGGTGTGGGCATGTGTTCCACCCTGGAAACAGTTGTCTTTTGCCAGTGAAGTCTGGGGTGTTAGGAAAACAAAACACCCCTACATAGGCACCTGGTTGACAGCCCTGAGGCGGCTCAGCTGACACAGAGGCAGTAAACTGATCAGTAACTAGGAAGTGGCTAGTCCCAGTATTTATCTGCTTCTTTCTTTCTCTTTTGAGGTACTGGGGATTGAACCCAGGGCTGGAGCACGCTAGGCAAGTGCTCAACCACTGAGCTACACCCCCAGCCCTTTTTATTTTGAGTCAGGGTCTTAGTAAGTTGCAACAGGTTGGCCTCAAACTTGTCATTCTCCTGCTCAGCCTCTCAAGTAGCTGGGATTACAGGAATTACTTTTGTTTTTAACATATTTAATTTTAAATTTCTGTGACTTTTTTTTTTGGTACCGAGGATCAAACTCAGGACCTTGCACTTGGAGCCAGGCGGCGGAACCACTGAGCTAAATCCCCGGCCCAATTTCTATGATGTTTTTAAAGGGCCATGTTTAATGGTACCGCCTCTCAGAAGGCAGCCCTTACAGAGCTCATCTGGGCCATGCCCGCAGTGGTCTCCAGCTACAGGGTCTGCGGGACCAGTGCCCAGCCTCCACATGGGCCTCTGCTCTCAGGGAGGTGAGACCTGGCTTTTCAATACAGCAGGAAAGTGAGAGGACTTTTTTTTCCCTTTTGGTGCTGGGTATTGAACCCAGGGCCTTTGTATAGAGCTACACCCCTAGCCCTTTTTTGAGACAGGGCCTAAGGTGCTTAGCTTGAGGTTGAAGTTGAGAGCTTCTTGCCTCAGCCTCACAAGTGCTGGAACTGCAGGTATGTGCTGAGAATAACTACCATGCATGCTAAAACCAGACCTGCACTGAAGAAGGCAGAGGAAGGACAGTCCCAGGGCCTATGTGAGTCACACGTGACATTCGACCTACTCTGGGCTTTCCAAATCCAGTAAGTCCCTCCTTCTGCTTCCTTGCCCCAGAGAATTTAGGTTCCCACTGCCATGCTCCTGGTGAACCTGTGGCCTAGTGGCACAAGTTCTGGGCCTCTTCACAAAGCCTGGCTGCAGGCCACATGAAGGCCAGCCTTGGTCGTCACTCTCCTGGGTGGCCAGGCCAGCAAGGGCTGGACTGTTACCAGGGTTCCCCCAGCTGCCAGAAGCCCACTGCAGCCCTCTCAGATCTGGGCCTAGTCACACCAACCTGTTAGCACTCAGAAACCAAGGGGATTTAAACCTATTTCCACCAGCCCTTCATACGGCCTTGGTGGGAGGGCTGGCCTAATTCCCTCATTCTTGGTTTAAGTCAATTTTCCTGGGCCCTATGAGTCCTCCTTGGGGTTGACCTGACTGCCCTAGACCCTGAACCACCTTCCCAGTGGGCAGGATGGGAGGTGAGCGGGGATGACTGGCATGGACAGGGCACCTGGAGGATGAGGTGCTTTTACCACACCAGGGAGCACAAGGAAGAGTCTGTGAGCAGCCACAGGCTGAGCTCTGAGTCTCCAAGGGCTGGGCTCAAGAGCTACATGGAAACACATGGGCCAGGACTGCTGGGAGGCTGCGCTGGGTTTTGTGGGTGGGGTGAGAGGTTCTTGAGGTCCTGAATATCCTAAAAACCCTTCATGAGTCCTGCCCACCTGCAGCGTGGATCACTCCTGGGGAGTGATAGCCTCACCTTAAGGGTCTCTTGGACAGAGCCAGCAAGGCCCAAGGGAAGGTGCAGTTCCTCTACCACCACAGGCACAACAAGGTGCTATGTCCTCTATGGATCTGGCCCTGAAGAGGACAAGGAGAGGGAGTGAGTGCCCAGCTGTCTCTCAAAGGCACAGACACATGGCAGCCCTGCCTTTCTGGCTGAGGATGGATACCCGACCTAAACAAATGAGCTGTGGCTTCCCAGGGTTGGTGGAGCGAAGGGCCCTGTGCCACTGTCACTGGCACCCACACTCCGGGCTACAGAGCTGGCAGCCTCCATGGTCAGGCAGGAGGAGGAGCAGTGGCACAGAGGAGGAGGAGGGCACGTCAGCCCCACACATGGACCCAATGCAGACAGCAGAGAAACAAAACAGCTCATTTATTAGAACCCAAAGAGGGGCTGTCCTCCCACGGATAGACTGCTGCCTCTCAATGAGTATCAAGAGCAAGACAACAATGGAAACCTGTATTCCTGAGAAGAAGCAAAAAAGTTACTAGCTTGCAAACAAACATAACAGGTGATTTCAACAAAAAATAAAACTTTTAAAAAAAAAAACAACAAAATTTCAAGTATTATTCCAGATGGCATGGCAAACCCAATGTAGGAGGGGAGGTGTCAGGCAGTGAAGGCCCTACACCCACTCCACTCTGCAGGCCTGGATGGGGCCCAGGGCCAGCCTCACCCCGCTCCATGACAGCCTGTGTCCAGCCATGTGGGGACGGCAGTGACCCAACTCACGCACAACAAGGAGCCGCTAACTTGACACCTTTGTCCAGGTTAGCAGTCTGGGACCCTGGATCACTTTCTTAACAAACAGAAACCTTTCAAATATACTATCCCCCAATTTAGTCAATTTGTAAATTATAAATTATATCATTTGTGCTACAGATTGTGATCTTTAAATCTTATTAGAAGATAAGCACCAAACCTATTAAAATAAAATATATATAAAAGGCTGTGGTTGTACTGACAGCGGAGTATTCTGCACATCCTGTATGCTGTAAACTTATGCTCCTTTTCCCTAGCAGAGCACTTCTGACACACTTTTCCCTTTCTCCCATGAAATTTTTCCTCAAGAGATCTTCATTTTAGCCACAATTATGGAAAAAGGACACAAAGAGCAAACCTGCACTGTCACCACTTGTGGAGAGTGGGTACAACTGTGAGTCTGGCTGGAGGCCTGCATGTGGGCTCCGCCACCCGTGCTCAGCAGGAGGTTGGCGCTGCCACCTCAGCCTGCAGGCGGCCTGGGCATCTCACTCAGGGTAAAGCTCCACAGCAGGAAATGTCCCCCACAGCCCCTGCCCAGAGCCCAGCCAGCAATGCTGGGGACAGTGAGCGCCCTTAAGAGCGTCTGCACTCAGTTTCCAACACACCAGTGCCCTCTCCGAGGCGCGGTGCTATGTGTTGTCGCCCTGATGTTCAGTTCTTGAACCTTGTCTGCTCACAGATATGATTAAATTTCCTGTGGGGAGAAAACAGGCAAATTACACAAGAGAGCATCACAGAAGTATTTAAATACATGAGATTTAAAACTGCTTCCTGGAAGAGCCACGTAAAAATTGTGTGTGTGCACCTGTGTGCATGGACTCACAGCAGCTTAGTGTATTTTTAATAACATCAAAGAAATGAAGTCCCAAAGGTAGCCTTGTTTTTCCCATTTTAAAATTTAAAATAGAAGTAAAAACACCTAGGTAATTTTCTTAGAAAAGAGAACAAGAGTTGTACCTCCTTAGGGTTTGTCTGAGGACCTACATGTCACCTGGTAGGTGACACCCTCACTAAGCATGGGCAGGGACAAGGCCCTTGACAGAGGAAGATGGGTTGTACCTTTATATCCACATTCTACTTTTATTTAAAAAGTTGGTTACTAGTGAAATCTCTTTTCTGAAAATAACACTGTCTCTTTCACATGCTGGTTATCCTCAAAGACAGTGCAAATTTTTTGTTTTCTGAGACTGGGTCTCACTGTGTAGCCCCAGCTGGCCTCAAACTCACAATGATCCTTGTACTTCAGCCTCCCAATTGCTGGGATTACAGGTTTCCACACCACACCTGGTTTGTTGCAAGGTTTTTATCCCACAAAACTATTCCTTGGAAGATGTCACCTTACCTGAGTCCCCATGTCTCTTGTACTCAGCACACTGGCTCAATTACTTTAATTTGAACAAAAAATGCCTGCTTGGGGACTATATATAGGCCATGGAACAGATAGTGGTCATCTCAATTGTTTTAAAAATGAGGGAAGAGAGATTACTCCTCAGGTCTGGTCTAACAGGGCAATGCAGGTGTTGCTATGAATATTCTTTAAATTTAAAGACCACACTTTAGAGGCCACAGGTGGAGTGATCAAGCTACAGTAACTGCAAATGCCCACTCATAATAATGGGAGAAAAATCCAGCTGTCCCACAGTTGTGCCAGTGGGCCTGTGGTCTGGGATGGGCCACAGCCATTGACCCAGGAAGTGCTAAGGCCCAACAGCTGGGTGAGCTCCAGGAACTGTCTGACTAGGGGTAAAATGATTTTAGCCATGAAGACAAGAGGTGGAAGACAAGAGGCGAGCATGTGCATAGAAACATTTTAGGAAATGAAGTAACAAAAGAGGAGCAGCTATTTTGACTTTACAGGTACATAACGACTAAGCATATATAGACTATATACATGTGTCTATATATGTATATCTATGTGTTTACGTGTGTGTGGATATATACAAATTTTTGGTGGTCCTTCACATGGATCCCAGGGCCTTGCGCATACTAAGCACGCACTCTGCCACTGCACTCCATCTCCAGCCACAAGTCTGTGCTTTTCAGCAGACAGGTAACTCCTGCCACTCACATCGCATGGTGGGCCTTCACCTGCGTGCGGCAGTTACGGCCCCAGTAGCAGTCAGGACGGGATGTCACAGCCGCTAGAAGAGAAGAGAGTACAGATCTACATTAGAGATGTCACACACACCCGCCCAACTAGCCGAACTAAGTGAGAGACATGAGCAAAGAACCGTGAATGCAAAAGCGGCCTGTCCCTCTTTGGGACTAGTTTCCTTAGACTGCCAAGATTTCAAGAAAGGACAAAATATGCTAACTGAAAACCAAATTGAGGAGATGAAAGTATTCCTTCAGTCTACTGATGTCTTCACAGACCTCTGCTTTGGAACCCCACCTGCCATGACTGGCAGTGTCACAGCCAGTCCTCGAGGCAAAGCGGCCTCCTGCAGCCTGTGCGCCTGTCTTCTCCCTGGCTGGTGCAGACCGCTGCTCAGGACACAGCGCAAAGGCTGATAATGACCATCTGCTAGACGACAGGCAGAGGGCTGGAGATGTAGCTCAGAGTAGAGTGCTTGCCTAAGGAAGCCCTAGGTTCCGGCCCCAGCATGGGAAAAACCACAAGAACCAAAAAGAAGGGGACAGAGAGAGCCAAGCAGATGAAAGTGCAGCTGGTGGGTCTGCTCACCCGGCAATTCAGAAGCGGGAATGTTCCGCCGGTACTGATAGCTCAGCTCGCGGAAGCTGCGCAGGCCACAGCAGTAGCACAGCACTGTGTCCCCAGTCACCCTGTAATCTGCAGAGAACACATCTCATGTGGGCCTGGCCAGTGACTGCACAGTGTCACGTTCTAGACAGCTGAAGGCACTGCGCTCAAACCAACAGAAACTAACACATCAATCTGTATGTGAGATAGAAACAGTGAACGTGACATTTGGAAAACAACAGCCAAACCATCTTGAAAGCAGTTCACTTTCATACAGAACAATTCCACACACATAGGAAAATTTAAATATTAAAACAATCCAGAAAGAGCTGAACGTGGTGCTGTATGGGTTATAATCACACCACTTAGGAGGCTGAGGCAGGAGAATTGGTGCCAGTTTGAGGCCAGCCTGGGCAACATAGTGAGTTCAAGGCTTGTCTCATCTACGTAGTAGGACCCTGTCTCAAAAAACAAAACAGGGCCGGTGATTTAGCTCAGTGGTTCCACTGCCTGCCTTGCAAGCACAAGGACCCGAGTTCGATCCCTGGTACCAAAAAACAAACAAACAAACAAAAATTCTCAAAAGTACTAAAGAGAAAATTGGAACGGATATTATTTTCTCAACTGCTCATTAATATAGCTTGAATATTCCTTATCTGAAATGCTTGGGATCAGAGGTGTTTCAGACTTTTTTATTTTGGAAAATCTACATAATGAGATGCTTTAGGGATAGAACCCAACTCTACACAGGAAGTTCACTTACGCTTCATATATACCTTGTATCTTCCAGATAGGTAGGCAGGTGAGTAGGTAAAAGGTTAGTTGGTTGGCCATGTATGTATGTATGTATGTATGTATGCATTGGTACTGGGGATTGACCAAGGGCTTTACACTGAGCTACATCCTCAGCCCTTTTATGTATGTATGTATGTATGTATGTATGTATGTATGTATGTATTGGTACTGGGGATGGAACTCAGGACTTTGTGCTTGCGAGGCAGGCAGTGGCACCACCGGGCCAGCCCTTTAATTTTTTGAGACAGGGTCTGGCTAAATTGTCAGGGTGAGGCAGTGCTCCAACTTCGATCCTTCTGCTCAGCCTCCCAGAGTACTGGAATCATAGGTTTATACCACCATAGCTGGCTTAAGGTGACAATTTCTTAAGTGTATAATATCATATACTCAACAATTGTGGTATCATTTAAAATAGTGGAAAAATGGAAATAATTTATATGTCCTTTATTAATGAATTAGAAGCAAACTATGATATTAGAATACTACATAATAAAGATGTAGCTCAGTGATAACCCACCTCCTTAGCACACACAAGGCCCTGGGTTTGAAACTTGGTGCTCAAAAAAAAAAAAGGCCCAGAAATCAAGGTGTATAGACCTTTCTTGGGAGAAACAGGCACATGACACATTGCTGAGTGGAAATTAGGTACAAAGAACACATATAGTACAGTGGGATCGGTGAAGTTATCCACAAACAGGCACAGGTGCTGGGAAGGGCTGGAGAGAGGGTTACAAAGACACCATTCCTGAGCGTCTCTCTGCTTTTAAGTGCTGGGGATCCAACCCAAGGCTTCACACATGCCAGGCAAGTGGTCCACCACTGGCTTCCCCCAGCCCACTTGCCTGTGTTTTGAGTGGTGGGGTCTCCAATGGCTTTTACTTTAACCTTTGTACTTCCTAGATCACTCATATTCTTTGTGAGCTATTATCATTCTTACACAAATACGAAACCATTAAAAAGTGAAAGTTTAAAGCACATGACAGAGGTGGCAGCCACAGGTGAGATGCTCACTGGAGTATGTCCACAAGACAAAAACAGCTCACGGCGTTTTAAGCAGAACTCTTTTTTTTTTTGGTGGGGGGGGGCAGTCTGATTGCAGGCTGGTCTTGAACTCACAATGGAGCATAGGATGGTCTTGAACCTGTGGTGATCTTCCTGCCTCAGCCTCCTGAGTGCTGGAACCACAGGTGTGAGCCACCGTGCCCGGCCTAAGCAGAGCTCTTGAGTCTTTTTATCATACTATTTATCTTAGGAAAGAACTGCTTGTTAATATTTCTATAGCCGGGCTGAGTGACAAAGACCACAGCCAAGGCACCTGTGCTGCCCTATGACAGGGAGCCGGCTCCACTGTGTGATGAGCACACCCAGCAACAGACGAGGGTCTGGGGATAACCAGCCCGGGCCTCAGTGTGGAGGAGAGTGGAACCTCCAAATGCTGCACCTCCACTCTCCCTGTAGGGAGGGAAGGGGCTAGAATATATCACACAGGTTAAACCCAAAGTATCAAGACCTTTCTTTCTCTGCTGGGGTGGGTGGAGGTCAAGGTCATAAATGCAGGAAAGCAGACAGGTAACACTGCCCAGATATGGCCTGCTGGGGTTGCAGGAGACAAAGGCTGCCTTAGAAACTCATGTCCATGTCACGAGCAATGCTACATAATTTTAGGGAAAAATCATTTGGTTAGCCTAGTACTCCTGCCTACAGCCCAGCTATGGAATTCCGAGACATAATTGCATTTTGGCCTCCGGTCCCAGCTGAGACCTCAATGATCCCGTGATGCTGTCTGTGATTCTCCAGGACAAAAAACACCCTGGGAGCTGAAAACATCCTGGGAGGAACAAACATCTACTCAGTTCCTCCTTGTTCTTGGATTGCTACATCTTATTTACACAGGATGTACTGAACTCTCTGCAAGTCATTTGTTGCATTTGTTTCCCCCGAGGTACAGTAAGCTGGGGGCTTCAGTCTTTGGCGCCCAGAGGAGCACTGATCAGACCCAAAGCTCAGCTTCTTCTCAGTCTCATTTTTCTACCTTTCCTGTAATTCACCTTGTGCTGCCGTGGCTAGCAGGAGACCAGGACTCACTGCAGAGGTTCTAGTAATGTCCCCTTTCCCTCTTCCCTACATGTCCACTCTAGCAAGAGCAAGAGCAAGGCAAGCGAAGGCACCTTACCAGACAGTAAAAACACTCCCCGCTGCAGAGCCATGAGACTTTCTGACAACATGTTTTTCCATGTCAGACTCCTGGTTACCAGGTAATTCTGTGATGGGGGAAAAAAAGGCACTAAGAAAATGCCAGACAAGAGGGAGAAACACTAAAATGACAAAAGGGGGAAAAACTTCAGGAAAGGTCCCTGAGGGTGGCTAAAAGCAGAGCACAGCCAGCCACAGGCAGCATCTTCACTGGGCCACAGCTGAGCTCTGGGGTCAGGGTCCCCCCTGGCTCCCGAGCTTCTTCTGTGTCTCAACAAGGTGAGCTGACCTTTGACCCTGTGCCATCTCTCAAAACTCCTCCAAAAGCATTCACAGCACAGGAGCAACGGAGAAGCCAGGCCTTATTTGGAGCCTCACAGTTCCAAGACAAGAAAGGCTGAGGACCTGGCATCTGCGCTCCCAGCCCTTAGGAACATGTGGCTATGAGGTCCTTCTGTGCAAACCTACAAAACTGCCTGGTGGAACAAAAGCAGGTGTGGTGCTTCTGAGCAGGGCATGCTTGTTGCTGCGTCCAAGGCACCCAAGGGCCCCCGCTGCTGTGGGCTTTCAGGAGCACTGGACATGAACAGGAGGGAAGCAAGGTTCTCAGCCAGAGGCTGAGGAGCACATTGAGCAAATTAAGATTCTAAGGGCTGAACCCTTAATTGAGCTTCCTTAAATATGTGAAGGAAAATGGTCAGAAAAGAAAAAGAAAGATCAGCTCTTCTAAGAAACACTCTCTATGAGCTGCAGGAACTAATTCCTATGGATTCATGACATGATGGAAATACTTATTTTTGGAATATGCAGAAAAACAGAGATACACTAATGCAGCGGTGGTGAACCTATGGCACATGTGCCGCAGCGGGCTGTTTGTATCATTAAGAGCTCTAAAAGGCTCCCCATCACTGTACTGTGGAAAGCAGAGGACCAGCTGCACTATGCACAAAGGAAAGTACAGAGTCCTATCGCAGCAGCTGAAGTCCTTTGAGGCCTCCTAGTTTCCACCTCACCCAGGTGAGTCTGGAGTGATACCTTCAGGATGTCTGACTCGTAGTTGTTGTTGTTCAGCACTCCATCCAGACACTTGTCCCCCAGGTTGAGCTCTGCCAGAGGAAGGAAGCAATGTTATCTGTTTTATAATGATGATATTGTATCATATCAAAATATTGTTTACCAGACAGGATAACCAAACTTTTTTCCATTATATAGATTGTGGAGAGAATAAAAACTTCCACAATAAAACACAATTTAAAATAGAGAACTAGTAAAAATGATTTCATCTCTCACACTCATTAAAATAATAAGATATCCAGGTATCATCAGTACCTGGTCTGGTGTCAAAAATCTGAATCCCACAGCAAGACTGTACTTGCAGCAGTGTTTTTAAGCGCTTAAGTAAATTTTTCTACACTGGAACCTAGCATTTTTCCCCTAACTGTTCTATATTTGCTTGACTGAGCTAACATGAACTTGATGCTCCAATGGCAAACCTCTGCAGTCCAACAGGAAAAGGCTTGTAGTTACAGGGTGACTCAGAGTGACCTTCTCATTTCTCACAGCAGGTCACAGACAGCATCATCACCTGCCCTGCCCCGAAGTTCACAAAAGAACATACAAAGGTCAAAGCAACTCGGAGAAGAAAAGGCACAATTACCACAGAATGGGGCGAGGCAGCCGGAGCAGCCAGTCCGGGTACAGCCCCAGTACAGGTGGCAGAAGGGCTGCAGACAAACTGCACCTGTGGACAGAGCTCTGTTTCAATGGTAAGAACTGTAGATTAAAGACATCCTGTCTCCTCTCCTAGATTTATGAGGGACACACTGTACACAGTTGAGGACTGATGTGTAGATGGATATGGATTCAGATCCCAGAGAGCCACCAACACCCACAGAGAATGGTTCCATTTGGGGCGGCATTATCACTGGTGGAAAAGACCAAGAGCTCAACTTACCCTGTGGGACCAACTGATTACTCAAATTGAAGAAAGCAGAGTGTCTCTGCTGCATGGCACTCACAAAGCTGAAAGCCACCTGACACCAAGCCCTGGAGGACACAGCATCATCAGACAGCACACTTACACTGCTGGGGTGGGACGTGGGGATCCTGCTCGCGCTCAGCTCTCCGGTCAGGCATGGGCTGGAAGCAGCAGGTGCAGATGGCGTGGCTTCCTTGCACAGGGCACTCGTAGTCCTGGGCTGTTGAAGATACCCATATTCAGGCCGGAGCGGTGCAATGCCAGGTGGAAAGGCAGCAGATAAGAGATTTACATGCAGGGAGGCAGTTGGTACAGACAAGGCCTAGAGAGGATCCAGACTGGTTCCTAAACAGGCAAAGTATATTCTGCCATTTAAACAGAGAGTTCACAAGATGGAAAGTAACCAAACACTGGGGGATAGAGATATAGCTCAGTGCTAAGTGCTTCTTGCCTAGCACATGTAGGCTTAGTCCCTTAGGACTGCAAAAAATAAAAAGAACCAAAAATTATCCTTTGGTTCAGTGCTTGTGACAAGATTTCTAAGATTAGTCAAAGATTTTCTACTCTTTCCTACAAAGGAAGGACAGGCCCATAGAATACATATTATAAAACAATAAAACAAATTGTATATTTAATCTCTGCTGAGGCAAAAGAACAACTATATCCTTCCAATAAACAAAGGACAGGCATGGTAGGCAAGGCTGATCTGGCACATGGAACATCCACAGAGCAAGTTTCCTTGACATCCACCATCCACACACGAGACACAGGGAGGTGACCATGGTGACCACCACAGTACCCTGCTGAGGGTCCCTGAGCACCTATGGGGACTCAGGCTCTCTCTAGGCATGATCTGCATTCCCAATTAGTAATCTGATGCTCCAAAAGGAGACACTGATGAGTCCCCATTATGCAGAATAAGGAGCTCTGAATGGCAAAGTCAAACCCAGGCCGTGGCTGAGCTCCAATGCCTATGGCCAAGCACTGCCTTGCTTGTCTCCCACCCACAGATTCCAGAGACCACCTGGAAAACTGCAGCAGTGTCCCAGTGGGTGGTCAAGAAGGTATCCTGGAGGCCAATCCTGGGGTGGCTTCCTGACCAACCATGGCCAAGAGGCCAGAGCCCATTGGGTCATCTTTCCATTATGCAAGGAACACAGAATGGCAGAAAGGACAAGACAAGAGCTACAATGCCACATACCCCTGAACAGCTCTCTTCTCTTTCTTTTTGGTGCTGGGGATAAAACCCAAGGCTTTGCACAGCATAGGCTCTACAGCTGAGCCACACTCAGGCCCTCCCTTGTTTTTCTTGGTAGCATCTGGAGACCCACTGGCCAGAAAACACATAATTACATGGAGACTGTGACAGATTCTGGCATCTTGGCAGCCACTGCTGGGCACAGCCAGTCTCTTATATGAGGGACAGATATGCAATCAGCAGTTTGGTTTTGGCAGACTCCACTGGGGGACATCAACTGCTCCATAGCAGTAGACTGGGGTGAGTCTATGTGTTCGAATCAGAACAGTTAGTTCTCAGACATGGCCAGCAGGGAAGACCCATTAATGATTATTTATCTGATTTCTTTTTTTAAAATTTATATATATATATATTTATTGGTACATATTAGGTATAAAATACCTTTACATTTATCATTGGGTGTTTGTACCAGAACATGATATATCTTGGTTCTTATTTTTTCTCCCATTCCCTGTGCGCCCTTCACCCCCTCCACCCTTCCCTATTTACACAGACTTTGTTTCTATTTTTTTTTCTTTTCTCATAATTTTTCCTTTCCCCTTCCCCTCCCATCACCCCTACCCCTTTGGACCTTTTCCTATTTCACATTATCAGTTATTCATTTTAATCATTTTCATCCTTATTTACACTTTCAATTTCTCAGAGTAGAGAAACTATTCGGTATTTACACGTGTCCTATTTATTTCACTTAAGAGCATGGCCTCAACGTGCATCCATTTAGCTATAAATGTCTCTAGTTTCTCATTCTTTATGGCTGAGTAGTACTCCATTTTATAAAAAAAACAGATCTTCTTTATCCAGTTTCCAATCGATGGGCACTTGGGCTGTTTCCAAGCTTTAGCTATTACAAACTATGCCACTATAAACATAGGTGCACATATATCGCTGTGGTACGATTCTTTTAATTCTCTGGGGAAGATTCCCAGTAGGGGAATAGCTGGGTAAAATGGGACCTGTAGTCAAAAGTCTTCTAGACCTAATTGACAGATTCAGTAGAGTAGCTGGATATAAGGTCAACACTCAAAAAACAATAGCCTCCTTATATGTAAAAAGCAGACCCACTGAGAGAGAAATTCAGGAAATAATTCCTTTTACAATAGCATCCAAAAAAATGAAATATCTAGGAATCAGCCTAACAAAGGAAGCAAAAGACCTCTACACTGAAAACTACAGCACCCTGAAAATGGAGATCGAAGAGGATATAAGAAAATGGAAAGATATCCCTTGTTCCTGGGTAGGAAGAACCAATATAGTGAAAATGGCCATACTTCCAAAACTACTACATAGATTTAATGCAATGCTGATTGAAATTCCAACAATATACTTCACAGAACTAGAGAAAACAATCCAAAAATTCATTTGGAAGCAGAAGAAACCTAGAATAGCAAAAGTTATCTGATTTCTTACCAACACTGATTGTAGCAAGAGGTAGTGGGGCCATGGAGGCAAAGGAAGTGTGGGTTGGGGTGGAAAGGCAATGCACAGTGCAGGAAACCAGAACAATCTGAGCCCCGGCAAAGATGCAACACAAAGAATAAGCCTGTGGTGCCTCTTACCTGAGGTGAAGCTGGTGGAGGTTGATGGTGCATCCCGCCCAAGGGTCTGTGGGGCCCCCAGTACGCTGTCTGATGCTGGGCAGGAAAGGGGCTGCATCACTTGTCTTCTGTACTCCGGACACTGTCTGCACACAATGTATGGCTGGCTGCAGGAAGAGCATGGGGAGAGCTGGGGCCACATGGAAGCAGGCCAGTCACCAATCCCAGCTTGGGCAGCAGCATCACAGGCTGCTTTATAGCAGTTTCCCCTTGCTGGGGCTCAGTTCTAGCCTGCCTCAGTCACACCGACACCCGGCATATGGAGAGGAAGAGGTCCTTCCTCTTGGCTCAGTCCCTCTGTTGGTGAGGGCACTGCAACAGCAGCTTGAGGTTGAGGACCACAGCCACCACATGCTGGCTGATCTATTTCTCGTTCCACCCAACTCCTGGAGCCTCACTCCCTGCTCACCAGGAATGGGCTCCCAGCTCTGAGGCTGAGATAAAACCCACATCAAGGCACTGCTGCTTTACCCAGTACATGCATGTCCTCCCCTTATCAAAACCAGAGCACAACACACAATTGCCAGGGCCAGCAAGAGCCCATAGTGCTCATCTGCATGGTCCCTCACTGCCCTAAGTCATTTGTCACCACTGCACTTCACATCTACTTCAGAAACTACTAGGAAAAAGTCTGTAAAAACAGAATCCACAAGAGCTGGGGATTTAGCTTAGTGGTTCCGGTGCCTGCCTTGCAAGCCCAAGGACCCGAGTTCAATCCCCAGAACCAAAAAAAAAAAAAAAAAAAAGAGAATCCACAGGAAAAGTACACATGACTCTCATCTATCAGAATCTGCCTTTCTAAGCTCAAACCAATGGCCAGAAAAAATGGGAGAAAAGGTAAGATCTGACCAAATAAAATGAGATCACAGTGAAAGGAACAAACAATTCCATTTCTAAGGAGAAAGATAAATGAAAAAAAGCCTTCTTTTCCTCCTACTGAACTGCCAAAGAGAACTGCTGTGTGTTCCTAGTAACGGTGTCAGTGTGAGCCTTCTGATGGGCAACTGGATAACTCACATACCAAAGTCCAGCAAGGTGTAATTCCCAGTCACTCTTTTAACTCAACTATTTTATGTCTATATATTTCTCTTACTCAAACTGCCGGTCATGTGCATAAATTTAAACATAAGGACATGTGCCACAGCACTGTTTTGAAACACAAAATGTTGGAAAATCTCCACATTCTGAGTGCAATACAATCCATCTCTTTAATAATACTTAATACCAAGGGGCAGGGATTTAGCTCAGTGGCACTGCGCCTGGCTGGAAAGTCCAAGGTCCTGAGTTTGATCCCCAGTACCAAAAACAAAGAAATACTTACTAGTATATTACATTTTATTTTATTAAAAAACATGCAAATGAGCTGGGCATGGCGGCACATGCCTGTAATCCCGGCACTAGGGAGGCTGAGCCAGGAGTATCACTGCAAGTTCAAGGCCAGACTGGGCTACATAGTGAAACCCTGTCTCAAAAAAAAAAAGAAATGCACAATATGGATACCTGTATGAATGATTGATGGATATAATAAACTGTTAACACTGAGGCTGGGGGTGTGGCTCAGTGGCAGAGGCTTGCCTAGCATGTGCAAGGCCCCAGGTTCCATCACCAGCACTGCAAAGAAAATTTTTTTTTAATTAAAGAAGAAAAAACATTGTCACTAAAGTGATTCTTGGCTTTCTTGCTTTTCTTGATCATCACCACTAAATTCCATAAAAAATAATAAAAATATTAAAAGTTTGAGTTTTTTTAAGTATCTTTCTAAATATCATGCCCTTGGCCCAAAATGCAAATCCTGGACTTCAGATTTAAAAAACATCAGCTTGTCAGCAGATAAAACAATGTCTTGCAGTGGTGTGTCCTCTTAGCCAGGGGACTGTGCCTTTTCTGAGATGCTGCTCTGTAAATGTTAACACTGCCATTTATGGTGTGGAGTACTTTATGGTCACTAAACCACAAGAAATAAATGTACTTGCATGGGAAAAAAATAACACAATCATGACCCTCTGACACAGCAGTTAATCAAGGCCCACAATGTGGAGTTTGAGTAACTGGTGGTTGGAGGAGGGTTCAATACCCACTGTGGCTACTCCAGAGAACATCAGGTCTTGGCCATGCTCCATTGCCAGAAAACAAGCAGAAACCATTAAGGAACATGGCTAAGCCCCCAGCTGCCCACCCACAGCTAACTTTAATAACGATACAGACCACACTTCTAGCTCCCATATCCCACACTGACCCAGCACAGAATTTACCTTATGTCTGAGGATTCGCTGTCAACATCTGACAGCACCAGCAGGTCATCTGAACTCCCTTCCTCATCAGAGAAAGACCTCCTAACTTTGGGCTGCAGCATGTCTTGAGTGATTTTATTCCTGGCATCCATACTTCGCACATCATCTTCACTGCGACTCTTGTCTAGATTCCAAGGACACACAGCATTCGTTGGGAGTGGAAAATGACCAGGGAGATACAAGCTAGGCTGCTGAGAGCTTCACTCACACCCCAGCCCCTGAAGAAGGAAAGGATTCGGTGGCCAACCCACTTGCCTGGGTGCTGGATGAGGTATGCTTCCACAAGGTTGTTGAGGATGTGGTTTTTACAGATTCTCTCCACTGGACACCGGCATGTGGGGCACAGGGATGAGCGCTCCATCCAACCAGAGTAGCAGGCTGCACAGAACGTGTGCATGCAAGGCTGCAAACTGAAGGAACAAGAAGGACAACTCTCCAGGCACGGCCTCCTAGGACATGCCTGGGACCTGGGAACAGATCTTCAGCAGGCCCTCCACCATAAGGACAAGCTGGAGCCGAGCCATGGCAAAATATGGGTCTCTGCACCATTCAACCTAAAACACCTCAGCTCAGTCTTGGTTCATAAAAAGCTAGAGCCTAGGGCCGGGGATTTAGCTCAGTAGTTTTGCCGCCTGCTGTGCAAGCGCAAGGACCCAAGTTCGATCCCCAGTACCCCATCCCCCTCCAAAAAAGGCAAGAAGGGTCTTCTGAAGCTACATCTGGGACATTCATTCTATGACAAATATTGTTTTGTTAACCAGGGAATATTTAAGGTGTGGTATAGTTTGCTCAATCTGTCTGCAAGGCTGTGGCCAGGTTTGTGGGTTACCCATGACTCATGTCAGTCAAAACCAAGGCTGCCAAGATTCTTGAGGGTTCTGCAGCCTTGGTCTCCAGGCCCCAGAGTTTCTCCTTGGCCATGTGAGTAAAATGAAAACGGCAAGCTCCATAGTCCTGGGGCAGTGAGGACCAAAGGCTGGCTTCACTCACCCCTCCTCTCCTCCCACGGCTCAAGGGTTACACAGACTCAGGCCTCCCTGGGAGGTGGTCTGGAGTGGGAGGCAGTGTACCTCACACAGTCATGAAGCAGGTCCTGGCAGATGATGCATGTGAGAGTCTCTTCCATCTTGTCTGGCTTCATGGTGACAGCTCTTGTGTCCTCATGGGTGGCCTGGGCACTTCTACACTGGTCTGTGACCACCGATGGCAGGTTTGGATCCAGCTCCCCATCTGCAAGAGAAAGGGATGAGTTCTGACTGCCGCAGCCAGGGAGGACATCAATGTGTAGCCTTTCTGTTTAACAAGCACCTCAACCTGTGCACTGTCTGCCAGCAGCAGAAGACATACAGTCCTCACCATGGGTCTGCATTTATACAGGCTATATTTTAAGAAAGCCCCAAGGGCTGGGGATGTAGCTCAGTGACGCTGTGCATGGCAAGTGTAAGGTCCTGAGTTCGATCCCTGGAACCAAAAAAAAAGAGAAACCCCCAAATAAATCTTATATTCTGGTATGTCTAAGTTCTGTTTTAGAATAGTGATATACCAAACCAGGCACAGTGCCAAACACATACAGTCCCAGCTACTTGGCATGGTTGGGAGGATAAAGCAGAAGGATTTTTGTTTAAACTTGCTATGTACCCTGGGATGGCCTCAAACTTGAGATTCTCCTGCTTCAGCCTCCCAAGTGCTGAGATGACAAAGAGTGCACCAACATGCCTGAATAGAAGGATCATAAAGGCCAGTTGCTAAAAAAATTATGTAAATGACATTTTAAACAGACAACAAACATAACTTCTATACACACAGAAATATGTCAGAAAGCGAAGATTCTAACATAACACCAGAACCCTTTTTTTTTTTTTTTTTAATTTTTTGAGTTTTGCTATGTAGCCCAGGCTGGCCTTGAACTTGCAGGGATCCTCCTATTTCAGCCACCCAAGTGCTGGGATTATAGGTGTGTGCCACCACACCTGGCACCAGAAGCTTTAAAATGTTTTTTTCTCCTGTTTTTATGGGATATTGGGGATTGAACCCAGGGCTTCATATAAGCTATATTCCCAGCCCTTTTTATTTTCAGACAAGGTCTTGGTAAGTTGCTAAATTATCCAAGCCGAGCTTGAATTTATGATCTTCCTGCCTCAGCTTCCCAGAGGGGTGGAATTATAGGTGTGTGCCATCATACCTGGATTCCTGGTGTGTGTTTTTTTCTTTTGGTACCAGGGATTGAACTCAGGACCTTACGCTTGAAAGGCAGGTGTTAGAATGTGTTTTTATTTGCTATTTACACAAGTGTTTGTCATCAAAGATCAAATGTATTTATTTTTGTTTGTTGTGGGGAGTGCTGGGAATTAAATCCAGGGCCTTGCATATGAGGTAAGTACTCTGCTACTGGGCTCCAGCCCAACTCATTTTTTTGTTGTCGTTACCAGGGATTGAACTCAGGACCTTGCGCTTGTGAGGCAGGCGGCGGAAGCACTAAGCTAAATCCCCGGCCCTTTTTTTTTTTTTTGAGTCAGTCGCCCTTTGTAGCCCAGGCTGGCCTCGAACTCTTGGCAACTCTACTGCCTCAGCCTCTCAAGTGCTGGGATTACAGGCATGTACCACTATGCCTGGCTCTCTTGTGCAACTTTCTGAATCAGTTCCTGTCTTTACACAACATGATAAAAAATATGGTGAATGCTGCTTCTGAGTGCTATCCTACAGAAAAGCAGCCTCATAAAAACATGGTGATGTGTTCTCATCCTCCTTAGTCATTAGATCTAGCTCCATACAACTTGTGGCTGTTCTCCAAAGTCAAATAAATGATTGTGGAAAGGTATTTGGAATCAATTCAGACATTGAGGCAGCCACAACAGTGCAAATAAGGATACTCAGGGGGGCCGGGGATTTAGCTCAGTGGTGCCGCTGCCTGCCTTGGAAGCGGAAGGTCCTGAGTTTGATCTCAGGTACCCCCCCCCACCCCCAGCAAAAAAAAAGACACTCAGGAAAGAGGTCTACCAGAGCTGCTTTAGAAAGTGGGAAGAAAAATGGTTAAGTGTGTTTGAAGCGAAGGGGAGTATTTTGAGGTGATAAATGGCAACATGTCTTTTACGATAATACATTTTAAAAAATTTAAACGAAGGCTGGGGATTTAGCTCAGTGGTTCCGCCACCTGCCTTGCAAGCACAAGGACCCGAGTTCGATCCCCGATACCAAAAAAAAAAAAAAATTTAAACACTTAATATATTTTTAGATCACACCTCATGGAAAACAAATGCAGCCATTCTCTACCCAGTCTTTCCTCACCTAGATTTTCCTCTTCTGAGCAAATTACTTTGGTGTCTTTTCCCTATCTCTTCTGGTATTTACCTCCATATGTGTGTGATATTGATACATCTGACTTAGCAGTTTATTTTATTTTTTCCTATGCTAAGGATCAATCCCAGAGCCTTCCTTGCACATGGTAGGCAAAAAAGACATCTACCACCAAGCTATCCCCTCATCCCCAGTTATCAATGTTAGACATCACCTCTTGTCACCTATTAATGTAGTGAAGTGTTCTGATCCGAGGCCCCCTTCACAATATTATTAAACACAACTATTGGTTAATTACATTGTACGACATCATTATGTTCATGTCCAGTATTCACTGCTGAGCCAAGTAAATTACTAAAATTAAGTTTTGTGCCTTATACAAATTTTCATTTTTGCTAGAGGTAGAGTTGCTTTATTTTATACCTGCTTATATTTTCCTATGTAACTGTTGCTGATTCTCTCCACACCCTCAGGCAGATCTGCTGTTTCCCACCAGTGTTCAGAGGGTCCAGCTTCCTCCCCGAGGACCTCCTACCTCAATCCTGCCCCTTGTACTGCTCATGGGCTATGGTGCCTGGGCCTGCTGTCATTGCAGCACCACATTCCCAAATACTTTTAATAATCTTTTAAACTTTGGCTTCTCTACATTTTTCTTCTCTAAATCATCTTTAATGTGAATGTTCAAACTATCACTTAAACATATTATTTATTTTTGAAACTGGTTTTCTCTATGAAGTTCAGGCTGGCCTTGAACTTGAGGCAATCTTTCTGCTTCAGCCTCCTGAGTGCTGGGGTTACAGGTGTAAACCACCACATCTGGCTTAAACATAACATGTTTTTAGAAATTACTGTCACATCCCACGACAGAGGGCTCTAGTATCAATTCTGCAATTCAGAGCATAGCCTCATAGGGAACATAGTTCTATCTGGATTATGCAAACCAGAAAGAAAATGCCCAAATTTTCATTCAGAAAACAGAAGGTGCTGCAGGTATCAGTCTGAGACAGTGCTGTGGTGCGGTCTCCGTGCTTCTGTAAAGTGCAGCCCACTGAGACCAACAGCTACCGCAGCACAGAGCACCAGCAGTCAGCAGCCTGAGGGATTCCGAGGAGCTCATGAGAGGGCAAAGGGTGCATGCAACTGCAAGATTCTGACCTTCTTTCACCTTCTTCTTCATGGGCTCCAAATCCTCCTGGTGCTGGGGCCCTAACAAAGAATAGGGTGCACCATCTCTGTCTGGGAGAGCTGAAGTGAGGCTGGAGAGTTCGTCACTTGCTACAAATGGACCACATCCTTTTGGGGAGATGCCTGCATCTCCAGACCCTGTGAAAGGTCAAACAAGACAGATTCCAATTCATCTGCATCAGAATGAGAGATGTTGAGAAAGTGTCACTGATTCAAACTAATGTGTAGTGTCAATCCGAGCTGTCACAGTTTTGTTTTGTTGTGGTACTGGGGATTGAAACGGCGGCCTTCATACTGAGCTACAACCCAGCCCTTTTTTATTTTGAGATAGGGTCTCACTAAGTCACCGCAACTGAGCTCAAATTTGCAATCCTCCTCAGCCTCCTAGAGTCCTGGGATTACAGGCATAAGTCACCATACCTGGCAAGATGTTATAGCTTAGAAATGATACATGACTCACCAGAAATACTGTACACATAAGCCATGTGTCTTAAATGCACCTGGGCTCATCGCTGTGCAAGTGGAGCCAGGACAAGTGGCACATCTTGAGATTCAGCCCTGAAAACCAGGGCTGCCCCACGCAAATCCTCATGCCAGCAAGCACAATGCACATTACCTGCCAAGCAGGCCCCAAAGAGATGCAAACCAAGGGCTCTTCAGACAGGAGGGGCATCGCGGTGAGTGGGTGTGACAAAGGAAAGGAGTGGAGCCACACAGGGAGAGTTCCGACCCACTTCAGCAGGAAGCTGGAGTTCCAAATGAACAAGTTTGGCAGAAATGCTACAAGCTTCCCAACACCCTGTTTTTTTTGTTTTGTTTTTTATTGATGCCGAGGATCAAACTCAGGACCTCGTGCTTACGAGGAAGGGTAAGCGCCACTGAGCTATATCCCAAGCCCCCCAATATCCTTTTTTCAAGACCTAGTTCATAATGTTATAGTACAATGCACATCTAGTTCATAACATTCCAATGGCAAATGGTATTATTATTACTATTATTGTTATTTTGAGACAGGGTCTCATTACATAGTCCAGGCTGGCCTTGAACTCAGTACGTAGACCAGTCTGGCCTGGAACTTGAGGGGATCTTCCTGCCTGAGCCTCCCGAGTGCTGGGGTTACAGGCGTGCAGCACCACAGCCAGCACAAGTGGTATTATTTGAGAAAATAAACTGGCCTATGGTAGCTGGGGAGGAAAAAAATAAAAGAGTATTATTATGGGAATAAATTAGCTCATATACTAAAGGATGAAAAGGACAGGTAGCTTCATAGGCTGGCTTCTTCCTCCAGCACTCACGTCACCATAACCTTTCCAAGAACTGTATGAGTCAGGTGTGAGGACACAGGCTTGGAATCTCAGCACTCCAGGAGGTCCAGGCAGGACAGCAAGTTTGCCCCCAGCCTCAGAAGCTTAGTAATTTTGTCTCAAAATAAAAAATAAAAAAGGGCTAAGATATAGCTCGGTGTGAAGACCCCGAGTTCAATCCCCAGTACCACATATACACAAAAAAATTTCTTGAATATTTAGCTGGCTTCTTATCTCCAGAACAAAGGTTATAGTCATGGCATCTGACCAGATTCACCATGGGAAGGACCAAACTCTAACTTATAAAAACCAGTAAAAAGCAGGCAGGGCCGGGGATTTTGCTCAGCGGTGCCACCACTTGCTTCACAAGCACAAGGTCCCAAGTTTGATCCCCAATACTAAAAAACAAAACAACAACAAAAGAACATGCACACATACAAAAACCAATAAAAAGCAATTATCTCCAGGTGGAAGTGGCCATCTAGAGCTTTGGCAACTCCCACTGTCTTTGCCAGAGGAGCAGTCTATCCCAATGGTATTTCTGTAACAGTATATTGTATTATTTGAAGATTAGATGGGGGGGGGCAGTTTGTATAGACAAAGAACAGGTATTTGTTGTACAAGTGTGGGGCTTATCTTTCTCATGTATTGTAAAGCTATTATTTTTCTGAATCATATCGTTTCTGTATTTGTGTCCTCCACTGATTCCTTCTCAGCTGACAACAGATATGCTTGCCAGATTGTCATCAAGGCTCGTACTTCAATAAAAGGTGCTAAGGACAAAAAAAAGCAATTACCACACTATCTCACATCTGGTAAGCGCATAATATTAACTACTATACAATTATTTTGTTAGTATGCACATACTTAGACATACAGATAGGAAATTTTTGTTTTTTAAAATTATACAATTTATAAATGAATTACCCTTTTATGAAATTAGAACAAAACTAGAAAATTAATAAAATAGAAGTGAACTGAATTGTACTTCTGCATCTCTGGGGCTGTCATCATGAGGGCAAGCAGCAGATGCTGGATCCAGATGGAAGCCAGACATTTCCCTGTGGGGCCCTGTCTGGGTTCTGGGGACCCTGGACAGTGTGTGAAGGGTATACTTACCTGGAGAGCTTGTAAGAATGCAACCATCCATCCAGGTAGTTACTCCTACCTGGTATGTTTTCATCTTAAAATGACTATATTTTCTTTCACTCATGAATCTGAAGTAATGACATTAAAGCAGAGGTAAATCAAAAGACTTTGAGAAGCTGTACCTATAGTGTACACTACTGGTGTGGTCTAAGCTACATACCTAACAGTTGAGGCACTGTGTCAGCTGTTTTTCCATTTAAACATCCTAAGTATCAGTCTAAGAAGTCCTCCCATGTGTGTCGTGAAAAGTCACAACCTCACAATGTCTGTTATGGTTTACATCTAGATGTCTCCCTAAAGCTTCATGTGATCATAGGTGGACCCTTTGGAAGGTGACCAGATTACAGAGGTGTACAGTTGCCTTGCTGTTAGGAGGTGGGATCTGGTTGAGATTTGGGTCACTGGAAGGGTTCTTCTCTCTCCCTGGTCCTCCCTTTCTCTCTGCTTCCCTGCTACCATGCCCTGAGCAGCCCTGCTCAGCTCTCCTCTATCATACATGTCTGCTGTGCTGTCCTGCCTTGGAGCCAGCTGACTATGCACTGAAACATGAGCCAAAATAAACTTTTCCTTTTTTAAGTTGTGGGTGTCAAGTACTGTGTCTCAGCGATGAGGAAAGTCACTAAGACAATGTCACTCCTCAGATGGCTGGGATGCCATTCATGTGGGGAAAAAGCGAAGCATGAGGCTGGGAACATCTTGCTGCTGGGGAGTCTGGCTTATCCAAGGGGCCTGTGAGTGAGGAGGGAGCTGCTGCAGGCCTCAGGGAGCACAAGAAGAGTGAGGCTGCCTATGTGAGAAGTGATAGTATTAGGAACCAAGAAAGCCAATTTAACAAAAATGGAAGTAAGTTCAGATAGCACAGGAAAAGATTTCCAAGTTTAAGATGACATACTGGCTTCCTGCATTTCCTGACTCTCCTTCCACAAATGCCATTAGAAAGCTTAAGGAAATGAAAAGCAAAAGGGAGCTGGGGTGTGGCTCAGCAACAGAGTAAAAGCATGTGCAGTCCTGCATCAATCCTAAGCACCACCAGAAGGAACATCTGGGAGCAGAGCAGCCAGCCAGCTGGTGAGAACTGAAGGTGCCATTCTCCAGAAGAGGGTTCTCTTGCTGCTGCCGATCAATGGACAGAACCATTAGGAGCAGAGATCCTGTTTGCACAGGTTTCCCCGGTTCCTGCTAATGAATGAAGTGTGATGTGTATACCTCTGGCAGCCATCTTGAAACCTCGAAATATCTTGACACAACTGAGACACAGGCATGTTGGGTGGACAGATGGGCACCCTCCAGCTGGTCCTGGAGGCATGGTGATCTGTTGAGCTGACCTTGGCCTGTGTTTCTCGACTTTTTGTAATGGGAACAGCTTTTCTGTCACATCCAAACACATCCTAACTAACATGTGAGGGGAAACCTACAGACTGCTAGGCATGTGAGAAGAGAGAACCAAGCATTCGAGGAATCAATAAGAATATGACCAAAAAGAGGTGATGAAACTACAAAACTTTACTGAAGATCAAGGAGCTTAATAAGGGGAAACACCATTTTCCCCAAATCAACATCTCAAAAAAACCAGAAAACACTACCTTGAGTGAAAGAAGTCACAAAACCACATAGTCTATGATTTTGTGTGCATGAAGCATCCAGAACTGGTAAATCCATAAATACATGGGACAGAAATGTTCCGGAATTAGTGGTGATGGTCACAAAACCCTGTGAATGTACTAAGAAACACTGACGTGTATACACTTTAACTTCATGATATTATGGTATATGAATTATATTTTAATAAAACTAAAAAATACCACGGTATCATAGTCCTTGAGCATCAACATTTCTCCTTGTGGAACAAGTCATCCTGTAATATTTGCCACCAGAACTCTCACTAATGAGAACTTTCTACAGTGGCTTTTCTGTCTCTGTGACAACACAGCTAAGGCTTAGTGAACTAGAAACGGAGACTGCCACCTCCCTCTCACCTGAGCTGGAGGAATGTTCTCGCGCTACACAGCTCAGCTCCGTGGAAGAGGAAGCAGCTGTGGAGAAGAGGTCTGATGTCGATGTCGATGGCTGTGGTTCTTCCAAGCACAGTTGGGCAGCAGGCAATGGTGGTGGGACCTGGAGGCCATCCCCCCGCCCTGGACCTGAGGCATCTTTGGTCATGTGGAACATGTTTTCTTTATTGGCTTCTGCAAGCACAAAAGTGCAGAAAGAGCCCGTAATTTGGGCTCAGGAGACACAGCAGGGGCTGAAGGCTGTTGAACTCTCGTTCACATCCATGGCTTGGCCAGAAGCTCACTTACCAAAGGATTCCTGTGTCACGCCTTGCTTTTCATTTAAAGATTCGTAGAGGTACGCCACATCTAAAAGGAAATAAATTAGCAGAGCAGCCATGTGGGAAGTGAGACCTCATCTCCTGCTGCCTCTAGTCACTTCACAGACCACCCATCTATCTGTCCTCATCTATCAGCTAGTAACAGCATGACCAGTTTAGGAGGCCCCAAAACAGGGGACACATGTCTTTACCAGCTTGCATGGGCAAGCCTCAGGGAATGCCTAAGGAGGCAGGGCAAGGTGAAGAATCTGTGCTTGCTCATAACTGCAAGCCACTGAGAGGAACAGATGCAAAACCCTACTGTGTGGGAAAGGGCTGTGTTTACACTGAAGAATACCTATCTCTTTTTTCCTTTTCCTTACCAAGGAAGAGCTTAAGTGACCTCCAAGTATTACAGGATGACTTTTTTTTCTTTCGTGGTACCAGGGATAGAACTCAGGACCTTATACTTTCGAGGCAGGCACAGTGCCACTGAGCTAAATCCCCAGCCCTCCAGGATGACTTTCAAAGGAGCCCCTAACTGTTCTGTCCTACATCATTAATCTACAACATAAACAGACTCCTGGAGCTATTTCCAGGCTCATCTTTGCTGTCTCTTGTGTATCTCCATGAGCAAAACCTCCAGGGTTCTATTCCTGGGTTTTACTACCCACAACTCCAGCTCTTCTGCAGCACCTCACAACCCATCCCTGTTCCACCTCTGTGGTTGCTGTTCTGACAGGCACTGCTCAGAACTATGGTGGCGTTCTCGAGGGAAGGTTCTGACCACAAAGTCAACACTCCCATTCTTTTTTTTTTTTTACCAATTATTTGATTTAATCATTTTAATCCTGATTTACACTTTCAGTTTCTCACACTAGAGAAACTCTTCGGTCTTTACACATGTGTGTCCTATTTATTTCACTTAAGAGTATGGCCTCAACGTGCATCCATTTAGCTATAAATGTCTCTAGTTTCTCGTTCTTTATGGCTGAGTAGTACTCCATTTTATAAAAAAAACCACATCTTCTTTATCCAGTCTCCAGTTGATGGGCACTTGGGCTGTTTCCAAGCTTTAGCTATTACAAACTGTGCCACTATAAACACAGGTGCACATGCATCACTGTGGTACGATTCTTTTAATTCTTTGGGAAGATCCCCAGCAGGGGAATAGCGGGGTCAAATGGGACCTCTAGTCCTAGTTCTTTGAGGAATCTCCACATTGACTTCCACAGTGGCCGCACAACACTCCCATTCTGGTTCAACTGTACACCAAGAATCAACATGGACAGTAAAGGGAACTTAAGCCAACATAACTGTTCCAACAGACTTTCTTCCTGAGAACGTTTCCTAGCCTCAGTTGGGTTCCCCTCACCATGCACCCAGACATGTGCCTGACCCAGGTGGATTTCCTTACTATATTCCGGCTCATTCTTCCTGTACACCAGGTAGATGACATCCCCAGTCTGTAAAGGATAAGTTTGCTTCTTAACAACCTTCAACTTGTTGATTACTGTTCCATTGGTGCTGAAAAGAAACAAAGGCATAATTTTCCCTACTCAAAATAACTTCAGGTTACATTTTTTTTTTTGCCACCATTAGGTAATTGGCTCAATACCACCATTTAAAAAATATTCATGGGAAAGCACAAGGTCCTGAGTTCGATCCCCAGTTCCCCCCCAAAAAAATATTCATGGGAACAGTACTGCACATATGCAGGTACCATTTTATAATTCTCAAGAAAACCTTGTCTGTAATTCAGTTTCTGACATACTAGCAATGATACCATGTTAACGAGTGTTTTAACATTTCTGCTGCTCCAATGCCAGACTCGCGTCCAGGTACCTCCTGGTGGATCCTGAGGCCTCGTCAGCACACTGTGCATCCATTTCTACACCCTCCTGAGCTTCACTTAGCCTGCCCACAGGTCTGTCTCCTTCTGCCGACAGACAGGACCCTGGTCAGTGCATTTCGCAGCTAAGAGACAAGTTCCCAGCTACCAACTGAAGATGATGTGGTCCCTGTGCTCAGAACATGTAGTCTGCCTGGATGACAGGCCAAGGCACGTGTCCCAGACTTAGGCTATGAGGAGAACACTCCGCCAGACACACAGAAGTGTTTCTCTAGGAGGAATTTCTGGGTGGAGACCTGATGGAAAATCAGGAGTTGGCTACATGATGGATTAACTCAAAACGTGAAATTCAGCACCAGAACCACCATGCCTGCACCTTAGCTCTGAAGCTTCCTTTGTAAGGCCCACTGGTAGAGGGAATCTAGAGGAGCAGACTTCTACCACAGCTCACTGAGGTCACGGAATGACAGCACTTTCTGTAAAGGACCAGACAGTATTAAGTCTCTGTCCAACTGCTGGACTCTGCCCCTGTGGTGTGAAAGCAGCCAGGGACGGGATGTAAACAAAGAGGAATGGCCATGCTCCAGTCAAGCTCATAACAGGCAGTGCAGGCCTGGTTTGCTGACCTCGCCCATCACCCTGCAGCCGGGCCCTCTATGCCCAGCTTCTCGTTATCATTCGCTCAATGTTCTGTAATGGCTTCCCACTGCTCTTGGGCTAAGCACATGCCCCAGCGAGGCTTCCCATACACCTTCTGCTCTGATCACAATCCTTGGGCTTCTGGGTCTCCACATGTGGGCCCCTCTGCCTGGACTATCCCCTTCTGTCCTAGCCCACCCCGTCCAGGAATGTGACATCTCTGCAAACTGGGAGGCCTGAAGCCTCCAAAGGAACTGGGACCGCCTAGGCCTTATTTTTAGCCCAGAGAGACCTGTGGTAGACTTTGGACCTCCTCAACCATAAGATAATACATGTATGTTGCTCAAAGCCACTAAGTTTGTGCTAATTAGCCATAGGAAACTAACTCATCCACCCAGTCTGGTGAAGCCAGGCCCAACCTAGGCAGACAGCTCCAAACAGGCTGATTTGTTTTCATTTTATCGGTACATGTTTACAATACATAATGAATGCATTCATCCTGTGGCGTTTGCATGGATACGTATCACACTGCAGTCCTCTGCACATCTCCTTCCCCTCCCCGCCCTCCCCACACACTCCATCCCCAGATTCCCTTCCCATCTGCAAAAGGTCTACCTCTCTGTTTTTTTTGTTTTTTGGGTTTTTGTTTTTGGTACCGGGGATTGAACCAGGACCTCATGCTTGCCAGGCAGGCTCTGTGCCACTGAGCTAAATCCCAGCCCTACCTCCCTGTTTTTCACCTTGCTCTTTAATTATACTTCAGGTTTTCATATAAGAGAAACCATGTGATATTTAACCTTCCATGTCTTCATCTATTTTGCTTAGCATTATGGCCTCAAGGTGCATTCATTTTTCTAGGAACGGATCAAATTTATCCCTCTTTATGGCTGAGTAGTACTCTACCATGTGAGTATATTTTTTTTATCCATTCATTTGTTAATGAACATATAGGGCCTTTCCAAGATTTAGCTACTGTGAGTTGTGCTGCTATACACATGAGCATATATGTATCACTGTAATATGATGTCTTTAATTCTTTTGGAAGTTTACACAGAAGAGGTATAGCTGAGTCAAATGGAATTTTTATTTTTAGCTTTTTGAGGAATTTCCATACTAATTTCCAGAAAGGCTGTACTAGTAGTTTACATTCCTACCAACAGTGTAGAAGGATTCCTTTTACACCACAAGCTTGTCAGCATTTGTTTTTTGAGTTTGTGATGATAGCCATTCTCTCTGAACTAGTATGAAATCTCAGTGTCGTTTTAATTTGCATTTCTCTAATGGTCAGGGATGTTGAACTTTTTTTTTTTTGGTGCTGGGGATCAAACTCCGGACCTTGTGCTTGAGAGGCAGGTGGTGGAACCACTGAGCTAAATCCCTGGCCCCTGGAACATTTTTTTCATGTATTTATTGGCATCTGTACTTCCTTTGAGAAGCATCTATTCATTTTAATTGCCCTTTTTTGATCGGGCCTTTTATTTTGGGGGGAGTCCCATTTTTTTGAGTTCTTTATATATTCTAGATATTAGTCTTCTGTCTGAGGAGTAACTGGCAAAAATTTTCCCCTGTTCTGTAGAGTTCCGTCTTCACTCTTTGGTTGTTTCCTTTGTTGTGCAGAATCTTTTTATACTGATATAATCCCATTTGTTGATTCTTGGTGTTATTTCTTGTGCAACCGGGTTTCTGTTCAAAAAGTCCTTGCCTATGCTATATCTTTATGAATTTTATCTAACTTATCATCTAGTAGTTTTTGGGGGGTTTTTTTGGTACTAGGGATGGAACTCGGGACCTTGTGCTTCTGAGACAGGTGGCGGCACCACTGAGCTAAGTCCCTGGCCCATCATCTACAGTTTTAATGTTCCTGTTTTAATATCTAGGTCTTTGATCCACTTTCATTTTGTTTTAGTACAGGGTAAGAGATGAGTCTAGATTCATTTTTCTGCATGTGGATACCCATTTTCCAAGCACCATTTGTTAAAGAGGCTATCTTTCTGCCAGCATGTTTCTGGCCCCCTTGTCAAACAGAGAGGGCTCTCTGTTTCTACATCTGTTAATTATTAGAACTGGCAAAGGAGCATCACAGCTTCCTGGTAAAACACTCTTTCCAGTCTCGTATGCCTGAAACTGTTCTTAGTGTAGCACCAAGATTCATTCAGTGGGAAAGGAACATCTCACTGCGCTGGAGGCCCGACACTTGTACAGGATTTAAAACAGGCATAGTTAGTGGGGCAGAATAGGGCACACCTGTAACCCAGCTACTTAGTAGGGTCAAGCCAAAGGGTGGCAAGCTCAAGGCCAGCCTGGGCACTCAGCAAAACCCTGTCCCAAGGTAAAACAAAAAGGGCTGGGGTGGAGTTCGGTGGTACAGCACTGCCAGCATGTGCAAGGCTCTGTGTTCCATCTTCAAATTAAACAAAACAAAAAATCTGATACATTTCAAAACAGCATTCCCTTCAAGAACATAATCAGACATACCCTCAGAGTTTGGAGGACAAGCACTACAGTGTGGTTTATAATAAGAGTCAAAATAATAAATGTCCACCAAGGAGGGAAATGACAGACAAATGATCATGAATAACAATGCAAAAGATGAGTGGAACCCAAACGCACAGATGGCGAAGCGCTCACAAAAGCTGCTAGTGGAAACGCAGAGACTGTGACAGTAAGGGTCACATAACTGCACTCAAGCCATGACAGACTCAAACATACATTTTTAATGCGAGTGGAGTTTTGGGACGCTTTCTACTCTTTATGTAGTGATAAAGTCCTGTCAGAATTTATCAGCCAGGCACAGTGGCCTACATCTGCCTTCTCAGTAGTGAGGAAGCCTGAGGAAGGAGGATCTAAAGCTCAAGTCTCACCTCGGGCACACAGTAAGATCCTGTCTCAAAATTAAAATTTTTTTGTGGACTGGGAATGTAGCTCAGTGGCACAGCACCTGCCTGGCAGACGCAAGGCCTTCAGTAAAATTCCTGGTACAAAAAAAAAATTTTTTTTTAATTAAAAATTTTCAAAATGAGCTGGGGATGTAGCTCAGTGCAAAGGCCCTGAGTTCAAACCCTAACACCACAAAGACAAGACAATTTATTAATTTCAAAAAGCAAGATTTTTTAATTTGGGAGGAAAGTCAAACTTTAATAGTTTTATAAAACTCAAAAATTTATGTCTCCCCCCCGCTCCAGGCTAGGATTACCCAGGGCCTTACACATGCCAGGACAGCAATACGACTCTCAGCTACATCTCCACCCCTTTTCAAAAAATGTTTGAGACAGGGTCTTGCTAAATTGCCCAGGCTGGGCTCGAACCTGCAACCCTCCTGCCTCAGCCTTTGGAGTAGCTGAGATTACAAGCATGCGCCACCACACATTATCAGTGTCTAAAAATGTCGCTGGGGGCCGGGGATTTAGCTCAGTGGTTTTGCCACCTGCCATGCAGGCACAAGGACCCGAGTTTGATCCCCGGTACCAAAAACAAATTAAAAAAAATAAAAATGTCTCTGGGCCAGGTGTGGTGGTGCATACCTATAACCTCAGAACTTGGGAGCAGGAGGATCACTGAGTTTGAGGCCAATCTGGGCTACAGTGAGTTCAAGGTCAGTATCAACTACCCAGCAAGATCTGGTCTTAAAAAAAAACAAAAATTTTTATTTCTGATTCATATTTTAAATTTTTTACTTTTTGTGGTACTAGAGATTGCATATAGGGCCTCAGACATACCAGGCAAGCACACTATTACTGAGCTACATTCCCACCCCTTTTATTTTATATTTTATTTTATTTTGAGATAGGCACGGTCTCACCAAATTGCCCTTGCTTGGCCTTGAACCTATAGTCCTCCTGCCTCAACCTCTTGATTGGCTGAGATTATAGGTGTGCGCTACCCAGCCCAGACTTTGACCCATATGTGATTTAATTTGAATTCAGGGTCCATAGGCACCAAAGCAATACTCAGGATTCCATTATAGAAACCAGAAAATATACTTTGATATCTTGAGAAGCTACATATCACATTAGAGAAAGCGAGCTGCTGTTACTGC